GATGTGTTATGCACCAATTGTTAAACTCCGTGTTTTTCTTGACCTCTTGGCTTTCGACCCTAAATAGAAGTTATGCTGGAGTAAAAATTCTCATCAACAACAACTTTACGCCAGATATGATTAAATATTTATCAACTTGGACTTTTCAGAGGGTATCTTTTGTGAAGATAGCTTTACCACTAGAAATTTATTTAACAATCCTCTGCAGTGGAGACTGGCGTAATTCTGGCTTTATGGTTCAAGTGAATATTTAGTAAATAAGCTTAGCAAACAGGCTTCCTTTTAAAAAAATAACAGGTGGGTGTCAATAAGTATTTTAAATAAAGAATATTTTCTAAAGGATACAAAAAAATGCAAATTAAACTAGTTTGACCAGAGTACCAGTCGAGGGAAACAATGCAGCGGATTAATTGCGTCACCTTTCAACTCAACTCAAGTGTCAAATTGCCGAGGTGCTCAGCAAAGCCCGGAAGGCAACCAGACGAAAAGCATACGGCAATACACGGTTTCGGGATCAATGACAGAGGAGCCACCTCATCATTCCATTTATATTTTGCACAATACGGTGAACTACTAACTGGTTACGGAGTCCATAAGTTCTTGCCACAGGGAGGGCATAATAGTGCATTTTCAGTACAAATATATCAATTTCGAGGTTTGGTACAATTATGCTTTTAAATGAGGCGGCAGGAGGAGAGTGACACTGTGGTCTTTTTCATTGAATGAAACTGCTGAATCGTTTGCGAATTCTCCTTGAAAAAATATAATAGCTATTTTCCCATCAGGGTGAAGCCCGGTCATGTAACGGTTGGTAGTATTTGCAAATATGCAACGGATTAACATTTAAAATGCTCTCACATGGAATAAATTATATTAAAGGGTAACAAAAGTCGAGGGATGTAACAAGCTGAGATTTATGATGAAAGCCCCAAATGCATGTACACACTGCTTTCAAATAATGCCAGTGTTTCTAATGTCAAGCTCTTTTAGATAAAGCAATATACATTGAGAATCTCTTGAGCTTGATTTTGTTTTCACCTGATATGAGTAAAACCATATTAACCACCTAATTAAAATAAACAAAATGCCTTGTCTCAAAATCACCCATCATTCATTTATGCAGTCTTGACTTTACAATCGTACAACCTGAGATAAATCAGCAGAAGTAGTCGAATAAGTGGCCAGTCAAGGACTTCCTCTTGGCTGACTTTGGGTGATGTCTCGCACACAGCTCTATACTTCGAATGAAGATTTGGAAAATCTGCAGTGGAGCAGAAGCCACTAATACTTGCTTTTCACAGAATAGTAAGCACTGTCATGGATCCTAACCTTGCGGTTGCAGTAGTAAATTTTTATCAGTCACTTTTCCTCCACATAAGAATTGGAATGTCAAAATTAAATGGTACTGTTTAAGGGCTGATGTCTACAGCATACAAACATGTCACATGATAGGGAGGAAGTGAGGCACTATTAGTTTCATTTAACAGGGACACACCCTCTGGACCTTTAACGCCTTCCTTACATTCGCTTTGCAAGATCAAAACACCGTGCTAATGACGAGCCGCCTACGTTTCGATGAAATATGGCAGTAAGAGTCCTGCATAAAAATTCAATAGAATTTAATTTATCAAGGATTTTTATTTCACTCATGTACAAGTTAAACTGGCGAATTCATCATGAAGATACACGCTTTTAAATCCCGGTTTGGTTACACTTAGAAGAGGGCTTCTCAACTCGTCAATAAAAGACCTCACATTGGAAAGAGATAAGCAACTGTGGCACTTAGGTAGCTCAATGTCAAGCGAGTTTGCCATAACTTGGGAGTAAAGGAGTAAAATGTCATCACGTTCATCGTGTAGGTTTATGCTCATGCGACAAGGGACGAGCGCCGAGGACGTGGGTGCATTTGCGTGTGATATGGAAATGCACAAGAGAACTTCACCATCACTGGACTAAAATTACATTTGCATTAGTAATAAAGGGCTTAATGCCCAGACGATGAGGTGCATACAGTAATAAGAAGTTTTTTATTAGTCAAGCATTCCCAAGGGAGGCGATGTGAATCCGAAAAGCGCCTGGATCCTCCATCCAACAAAAAAAATTTACCAACTGGTAAACTTCTCACGTAGTGCTGGAGGGCATATGGGCGATGCCAACCCTAGTATTTCAAAAATGACCTGCCCTTTGTTTCATAGGGCAAAGGATAAAAATAAGTCAGTTTCTGGACATCAAAATATTACACTTGATTTAAAATTCTGACATATATTTCCAACAACTGGAATCCAATTCCATGACTTGAACTAAGAACACTTCCCGCTAGGTACGAAACCTCTTAATTGGGTAAGATTTTAGCTTCCCTGATATTAATCATGAAAGGCATTATTGATATAAATTTGGCAGTTAAACTAATTAAAATGACAGGAAAAACTATTTTTTACACACGAACACACGTTTAATGAGAATAACTTGGGACTCAGCGCCGAAACTTGTGCCTATAAAGAACCCTTTTAGCAAGTCAGAGAAAAAAAGGGGCAAAAATGAAATCACAAGTATAAAAATCATGGACCTTTGAAAGGAGAGTATCAACAACAAAACAACAAATAAAATTTGAAGATGGACTACTTTAACTGTTCTTTTTGAATCTTGGTTTTGGTAACGGGCTACTTAAGGACTCCGACATTATACCTCCGCCGAGTGGCCTGGCCCTTCGAGCTATGCCAGTAGCTCCAAGTGTCGCGTGTATAGATTCTGTCCAAGTATTATACCTCCATTCATCCTCAGAGAAGTCTTGGAACGCTATAATATCTATCCATAAGATTTTTCTCAATTAGTTCCTTTAAGTAAGGCCAAATTAAAGCCATTTTGGTCTTGAAAATGTTTACAGCTACGTAAACAACAAGCGATACCGTTAAATTTACAAGAGAAACGCAAGCCTCGATAATCACCTGCAGATGGTTTTGTGGAACCCAATTGATAATCCACTTATAATTCTCAAAATTTTAAAACTACTCTTTTTGGTCTTCTTCCTCAACTGAGAGATGCTCTACATATAGAGAGCTATTTAAGAGACTGCTGTTAATCTCATCTAATGGGTTGTACGCATCTTTGCACAGCAAGTCTAAACGGCATTAATCATGAGGAAGATGCAATTATGTAACATCCTTTAAGTCGTGATAGCAAAAGGACGTAAATACATCCCTTCTAATGTAGATTAATACAATGGAATCTGTCCTTCAAAGAACTTGAATTGACACTCGGTGAGGACTAATCAAACGCAACTATAAAAGTCAAATTGTAGCTACCTCGGAAATTTGTGTGAAGGCAGTAGTTCTCTCCATTTTATTATTCATAGGCAGACAAAATGATGGACGGATTTTAACCAATAAAATTCTGGTGTTTTACTAAACGGTCGGCATAAACTTTGTTTAAACTTACCTTTGAAAAGTGTGCGATTTGTTCAAGGATACTAAAGACAGATTTTGACGCGGATATGATAATTTTGGCTAAGCAACATAAAAATATGCTCACGTCATTGATTACACCAGCATGACCTTAAAATCATAGAGTTTTCACTGTTAATTAGGCTATCAGATGGGGTAATTAACCAACAGGCAGGCTCACGACTAATCGCTCGAGGCAGATGAGGAGGTGGTAGTGCTGTAGTTGGACAGGACTCATGGTGAGCTGACTGAGCAGGGGTGGTGCATCCTCTAGCTCCTCCTGAATAGGCTCCAACACCCCGCGATTTTGAGTGCGCGGCCACGTCGCCCCTGAGCCCACGTGATCGGCTACCACTTCCGCTGCCGCCGCCGCCTCGCTGCAGCCACTGCTACGTTTTGCGCTGCCGCCTTTGGTTCTATCCAGAGCATTCATATGTGCCTCCGCCAGTCGCTTCCCCATCAAGAAGGCCGAGTGCTGCTCTTGCGCAAGAACCTTGAATCTTGCGCTCCTTAAAGCCTGATGGTGGCAGAGAAAGTAAAAAAGCAGTTATAGCTTTCGTGGTCGTTTAATACCTGATTGAAATCTTGTAGTAAAATCAAGCTGTCTTGTTCTATGCTATTAAAATGTAAAAAATAGGCTTGACGAGGTCTGAGCACATTTCTCGATGGGTCGACGACATCTTTAATCACAACATTGCTTCTAATTGGCCTTAAACATGATGTAAAATATCAAAAAGTATGCAGCAAAGGTTTTAATTATTTCCTGTTCAAATGGGTTGCTCAAACACTTCCATTATCGTCAAATTGCATTAATGGCCATAATCAAAACATAAATGCCATCTTTATTAGCCTTGTGGGCTATCATTTAATAGTTTATAGTTCTTTGAAAGGTAAAAGCAGCAAAATATCCCTATGAATTTTTGACGCAAGGATTGAAAAAAATTCACAAAATCACTTTGCAATGGAGACTTGTCCTAAAACACTGTGTATGACAAAAATAAGACAAAAATAGGCAAAAAAAATCAAGGTGATGACGTTTTGATTTGTGGTATTTAGCATCGGTGAAAATTAAGGTTTGCTTTTCACCTGCACTCAAAATGAATATAAGCTGCGTGGAGGTGTTGAGAAGGCTACTGGTGAAAATAAGCGTTGCACTTAAAGGAGCGTTAATGGCAAATAATAGCCAAAAGTTAAGTATCCCATTTGAATTAGGCTAACCACCAACAAGCACTCCGTCTTGGTAAGGCTAGCAGGGATACAATGAAATGTCCACTCTCCAAATACTCCTCTATGTAGCTAATATTTCAGGAACCAAAGCAGTTTGGATGCCGATTTCGGGAAGAATAACGAATGGCAGTACCTAGAATGCGGACACCGTTAAACATCGCAAAGTAAATTTTGCCCGCTTACAAATGGCAAATATCCGCGTTTACAGATCCTTGAGCAATAAAATCGCCTGCAGCACATTTAGCGGGGCAAATCCAATCAGGAAAGAATGTTTATGAAAGGCTACTTAGCTGTAACGCGTTTATCGCAACAAAAACTAATCCGATTTACTTGAAATATGCTTTCGGCTTTGCAGAGATAATTATAGAATCTGAGGAAATCTTCCCTTACCCCTTGGTCACTAATATATGCAATAGCTAGCCGATGGAAGTTTGTTAAACCTCTAACATTGTTTCTAAAGTTCATTCTGCGATGGTTCGTCACTGATGCGGAGCCAGAAATAGCCAAATAATATTGGGGACATAAGGTCAAAATTGCGAAGATATGTTCTGAGGAAATTGGTTCATGACAAGTTTTATTTTGTATACACCTAAAAAATTTGTGGGATTTTCATAATTTGAGTAACTGGAGAAAAATTTATGTGAAGGGCTGAAACCTTATCAAAAAAAAATCCCCAAAAATCCCCACGCTGTGAAACGGAACGGATAAGTCACCGCTCACACGTGGCTTACGGTCAAGTTCACAGAATTACAGTTGATTAGACTCGTATCCGAAGGTTCTTCCGTCACCAAGAATATGTGTGCTAGCAATGTAGGAATTGCTAAGCTAGGCAAACTTTCGAGGGAGGATTATCTGTAATCAGTCCTATAACACGAATCATCTGCAAGCCAAGCAGATGAACATGTTGGGGGCAGAGCTTTGGAGAAAGATATCTCATACTACTCTATAATTAATACATTAGGATTAGCAGGCTGGAGAAAACGACCCACGACTGCAATGATCAGGCGCGGTCTGGGGAAGAGGCGAGGGAAGGGGTGAAGGGGGCAATTTTGTGCGATAAATACGATGCTACATGCATTGCATTGCAGTGTTTTCCTTCCCTTCTCAAACTAAAATACCTTTCATACCTACCCAGATTTACATACCATAACGGAATATTGGCACATTTTTGGAGTATTTAAATATACCTCCACGAGAAACACTATGGGGAAATGGTTTGCATTACAGCCCTATAGTAAGTAATGCCAAAATAAAGGGAATGAGCTAAGGTTATGATTAATTTGTGTTAATAAGTGTAACGACATGAAAAAAAAAGGTAAACTGCCTGAATACCTTCTGAGGTGCCATACATTCATTTGTGTAGGGAAAGCTTTCCACAATATTTTCGAAGCGACAACTTTTTACGCCTCTAATTCATGTGACCACCATGAGCATCGCGGAGCGACTTTGCTATAAACCTTGAGCTAGAATACAACCAAATGGACAGGAATCTTTAGATAGACTATACGATCCTTCCGGCGAATTTTGCCGGATTTTGATGAGCAAAAGTGGGAGGAGAGGGGGGTTACGGTGAGACAGAAAAATCCTAGTTGGCCAATTCAGGGTAGAGCGCTAGGCGAATAATTAATCAGCACAATTTATGGCACCCTTTGATACTTAAAGTGAGTCGTAAACATGTGGTAGCTTAATTGAAGTGATTTTTATAGCCTAACGACTGGTATTTTTGTACAAGATGGGCATACTAATGTTCCGACTGTGAAAAGGGTACGCAAATAAGTACGTCTTCTGTTTGACACTACTTAACGTTGGATGAATTTTGCAGTATTTGAAGCCAACAAGAAATAGGTAGCCATCCATTCACCTCTGAGGTGCTGTTGTAGCAGTGTGAAAGGGTAAATAGTGACTTCAAAATAAGATTTGTGGGATTGTGTCCAGGGAATACCAACTACGAATACAAAGTACGACAAACTACTTTCAATGGCATTTTGAGACAAAACCTAAGTAAAAGCCGCTTCAAGAAGGGAGAAAGAATCCAAAGTTTAACACAAATATGCTTATAAAAAAGTTGGCGGAATCGCGTTTACTTAATTAGTTTTGTTTATCGAGAAGTTCTCTGAGCCCTCCTTTCACAAACATTCCATGTTTTTGGAAAAAGAACAATTAAACTACAGATTAAAGGAAACAAAATTCCCCTACTATGCAATTTGAATAGCTAATTGTAGCCATCAACCCATCAGTTGGATGGGTTAATTAGAATAAGTGAAATTCACTTGCCTTGTACCATCTAAACTTTTTGCTACACCTAAATTGTCAAAGTCAAAATATTTGTCATACTGTATTTGACAAATTGACATTTGTCAGCACGAGAAATCCGCTGTGACTTTGTTATTAAAACAGCCACTTGAAACGCCGTTGAAGATACTTTTTCTTGCTGTGTGATGTATGATGTGTGAGATTTAAGTTGTGTCGTAGTTTCAAAGTAGCGGTGTGCAGTTAGTAAAGCAATAGCTAAGCGAAAGCCAAAAAATGAGTTAAGAGGATCTCAGCATCCTAATTTTCTGTTAAATTTTGAGTACACTGCTAGATTTTATTGCAAACTACGTTCTGCGACGCAAATTTTGTTGTTTAGGCTTGTTCATTATTATAAATCGGATGATGAATTTCAAAGTACTCCATAATAGTAGCCCATCGCAGTTTTCAGCAAACCGTGTTCGATTTTATTACTGAATAAATTCTTCTAGAATGACTTTAAAACCTTCATTGATGCATTTTGATACAGACCAGTCTTTTAAGCGCCAATATTAAAAAAATCATCAAATAAACGAACTTAGACCACTATCATTTTTGCAGCCTTTGCACAAAGTCGTAGATGAGACAAAAAGATTGCATTAATAAATTAAGTAATGGGAATAAATTGCTACTTAGTAAGCCGTAACCAAATACATAGACTTTGCTGAGAAATTTTCTACCTAATGTAAGCTGATGGCATTAAAATTTAAACGCTGTTTTACCAATCAAAGTAGGACATTTCGTATTGTAATATTCTGACTTGTCTCATATGGCGGAGTGAGTGAGCCGGTGTCCTGTCATATGTGATGTAAGCATTTGAACAAGCCTAAGAACCATGCGGACCGTTAGAAATATGCGAAAAATGGGACGTAAATGCAATCATTTTACTTGTTGACTGATTTCTTTGTCAGCCTGTTGACTTTGTTGGTAGATGCGCGCGAAATTGGAGACAATGACAGGCACGGGAAGAGCTATGACGAGAACGCCCGAAAGTGAGCAAATGCCTCCGAAAATTTTTCCCATCACCGTGACCGGAACAATGTCGCCGTACCTAAAAGATGGGAAAGGATGGATTTTTACAAGCTCTTGTCAGTTTAAAAACTCCTCATTTCTACCTACTCTTGGTTACGAAGGTGATGTCGCGAAATCTAGTATGCAGAGTATGTAGGTGACATTAAATTCACTTAATTAAGTTAATCCTTTTATTATAATAGGCAAAGCAGTTGACTGTAGAAGTGCCGCCACCGCTATCGTAATATCAATGCCTTTTAATGGAAATTTATAGGAAAGCTACTTCATCAATAGGCACGTAAACGGCCTGAGATGCGTGTACAGGGAGAAAGATAGATGGACAGACCTCAACTTCTCTTGCAGGTAAGGTGGATGCATCCGAGTATCCTAGTTTTGCGCTCGACCTCTGGGCGCACAAACGCGTCCAGGACTAGTGAAGCATTCAAGACTCAAGAACTTGATAGCATCTGAAGCCATATGAGGACGTCACCTCCTTTACGAAATCGTCAATACGCCAGCATTGCACATAACGTGAAGAAGTTTAAAATCCATACAGGCTGTTTAAACGCCTAGTTAACCGTGTTGCTTTGCAAGAAATTGCACTCCATGGAGTTCAAATAACTCGGCTAAAAAGTTAGCATGCAGCAACAAGAGACCGAGAATACAGTTTTGTTAATAATGAATTTAATAATAAAATAAAACGATTTTAATTTTCTTCCAGTTTACACCGGATTGAAGATAACTATTCAAATTGGCATTCACAGATTCAGCTGGCACTATTTTTCAGATGTGTTTGCCTAATTTTTAGCTCGGATTCGCCTTCATCATACTACCCTCTAATACAAAACGCCGGCAAAATTAAGTGAAAAACTTGATGTTGGTAAAGGCGGTCGGTTGCCCAATCGCTTACCGATGGAAAAAACATCTAGCAGGTGTCCAGTTGTCACAGCCACTAACAATTGCCGTTTATTTTCTCTTGTTCTTCACGTGGGAGGCAGGCGGCTGGGACAAAGTTTACAGCAGCAGTGATGTAAAGACAGCACTTTAACACTCGTAAAATTAATTGATGCCTGTCAGAAGTTAGCATGACTATGTAGTCACGGAAATGGTATTTATAACAACATTTCTAAGATTTCGTTTATAATCATCTCGGAGTGCCTGAAGTATAAAAACATAAATTTGTGAATTTATTGTGGCGATATTATTTGGTCCCTCCAATTACCGTTTCTAAAGCCTCCCAAATTGTTATGCGTGTAACGAAGAGAAACTGTTGCGTGACAAGCCTAATGGCAAAAGCAGTCAAAAAAGCAACTTGTATTGTGATTAAAACGAAATAAATGAAGTCATTTGGTCTGAGCAGCTCAGGTTTGACAACCATTATTTGTATGCTTGTTATATGATAGGAACTAATTTCAAAGTAACGAATCTAGACGGTCAAAATGCGTCTGCTTAATATGAAATATCTTTGGGAAAACCCCTGCAAAATTTTATGACAAGTCAGGATTTTATTGCCATAGTGAACTGAAAGCAGATTTTTCATTTATGCACAACATATCCGTTCTTTCCCAAGTTTTGTAAAGTGATCAGCCCTAGTCCCCAAGCCAATACATCTCCGTATTAAGTGAAAGGCATTAAGCAACAATAAGGGAATGTTTGGAACAACCAGTAATCAGTTTGATTAATTCAAAAGTGGAACTCGTTCGATTCCACACATTTCAAATTTTGTTAATGACCAATGCCGTATGGTAGATAAGAAAGTAAAATTAACCCTTTCCAAAACCTGAAAGAACTGTCCCATTTTTTTCACATTAGAAAAATTAACTTTAAAAACAACTGATTAGGGACGACTTTAACTACTGTGGTCTAGAATCCAACCGAAGTGTTCTAAATGTCTCGTTTCATGGAAAGTGGAATTCCAAATAAAGTAAAAGTTCAACACACCAAAGCTGTATGCTCATCCGAATTGGATGTTAATAATCGACTAGGGATTAAATTCAAAACATAGGTAACTTATTTGCTTGGACAACCCAATCGTTTTTGGCCACATTTAAACGACAAAGAAGGATGCAAATTATGGTTTGTTGGGCTTTTCTTGGTATCTGTCTACAGACACAAACAAAAGATAAGGCGGACCAATTGAACGAAGCGCCTTTGTAGCACAGGCACTACAAGCCTGTAAGGAAAAAGTTAATTTAAAATAAGATTTTTCTTTTGTGTCACGTTTTCGTAGAGTTGGACCTCAAAATGTTTTCCCCCTACTTGTATTGCTCACCCAAGTATATGCGATACAAATGCTTCTCCATAAATTTGCTTGTGCGATGAGTACACAAAAAAGTACAATTCTCTTACTTCGAGGAAAACAAATCCTCCGAGATCCCGGAGAAAAGTGTACTGGGGTAGGCTGTTAGTACTTCCATTAAGTGAATTCAACTGTGCGTACATCTAGCACAATTGAAATAGTTTGTTTCTTCTTCACCCGGCAGATGGTTCACAAATTAATGCATTTAATCCCTCCCTCGTGGTCAAAGAATATGGTTTCGGAAGTTTTTAATTATTACCAAAGAGATTAGTCCACCAAGTGATTAATTAGGAGGCCTTATTTCCATATTGAAATAAGAACTCATCAACTTGTGGAAATAATCTGGAATTGTCACATCATCATGCTTTCTCGTCACATCCGAACTGATTAATCACTGTTTCCTATTAGCACTTATTATTGAGGCAATGAATGGTAATATTCCCCTAAAGTCCAAATTTATAGTAGAATAGAAAACCCATGCATGCTTAAAATCCCAGATTAATATTATACACCTCAAGCAAATTAATGTATAGGGCCTTTTTCAACTGTATTTGTTTTGATAAGCCATATTTGGTGACATTATGACTACTTTTTGTTGGGAAGAAATCAAAGATACAGGTTTTCGAATCCGCTTCTGGGGGGGGGGGGGAACTTGAGCACCATTGCAATGAAATAAAGTTTACTTCACAGTGTAACATGAATACAGTCGACCTTGCATCTGGCCGTGTGCAAGAAAGACTACTCCCCGTTGCATCAAAGGGAAACTTGCCATTCCGTGCATAAACGTTGGAAAAATCCCACACCCATCAGAGGATTTACGCCAAACGCCACTCAAATCACAGGACAGGGAATTGCTAATTGAGCCCATTTGTAGGCTTTAACTCAAGACAACGAAATTGTATCATGTTTGTGTAAAAAGTATTCGCTTTTCGTTCAAAAAATGGGACGTTCTCCAAGTAAATACCTTTAAATCCATCATATCCTCAGAAAACGTCATCGCATGAGTTACGGTAAACCCATAAAAATTCGACACTTTAAAATTAATTTGTAATTTTCTCTGGTCTGGAGTTCCCCAGGTAGACGAAACCACTTTCCCTTAGTATCAAATTACGTGATTAAAAGTGGCCTATTCAAATCAGTTTGAGAGGCGACTGTCTCCAAAACACAGCAAATTGAAACGACTTTTGAAATGAAGCACCACGAATTGCATCACGGAATGTATAGCATTGCCTACTTCCGTACTCATTATGTCTGACACGGAAAATACTTCATGAACAAGCCTAATAAATCAAGTATTTGCTGTAACTGGGGCCACTTAAACGCGGCTAAGACGCAAAGAGGATTTTGTGACATTTCGTTACAAAAACAAAAATATTTTTCAGGGTATAATAGCATTTAAAATTACCTATTTAGTAATTTTAAAGCTCGTTCAATTATTACCCACTCTGAAGTTGATTTTTTTTAACCATCAACTTCAGGCGAAATTATGTAGTCCGTTAAATATTGGTTTAAATCCTGATCTCCGTAACGGGCTAATTGGGGACTCCGCTATTGGCACCTTCTCCGGCCGGCCGGCCTAGCCCCGGAGTCATGCCAGTAGCCCCTCACCCCTTCTCTATGTCACCAATACATATTCTACACAATGCAGTGTCCCAAGACTTGCCTGAAGGCGTGAGAGGACAGAATGCTCAGGCAGAATGCGTATTGCCGACGGGCAAAAGAGTATGAGGCAAATGGCTTAGCCCGGAGGCCAGGACCCCATCGAAGGTACAATGGCAAGCCCTCTAGATAGCCCATTACCGAACCCAAGAGTTAAGAACAAACAACCTACTACAGTTCTTTTCAATAAGCTGAAAATCGTGTTAACAAATTAAATATTGTGACAATTAATTAAGGGCTTGTCTTGAAGTTCTTTGAAAATAAAATTTTACAATCAACTTCTGGCTGGATTACCAACGTTATTTATAAAAATTTGCGCATCAACAAAATGGTTTGCCTCGTTTCTCACTGCTTTTAGTGCCGCCTGATTTTTTGGGATTTGGAGCATCTCCGTTGTAAAAATAAAAAAAAAATGTTCTGTTGTCTTTCCATCTAATGTCTCAAGAATTTAATGGAGCCTTGCAGCAAAAAAGAGCAATCCTTTTTTAAACCGAGGTAGCATACGGTGCCATCTGACCTCTAAGCAATGGTTAAATAGAGGCAAACACCCATACACCCCATAAATTCCCTCCTCCAAATTTTAAAACCTTAGAACATACAAAAGGTGAAGTGATAAAAGGATACAATTTAAGGTCGAAAAAAAAAATTAGTCAAGCTCTTAAAATTTCACCTTGTAAAAGATAATGAGCATGCTGACATCACACTCATGAAAAGGACGAGCAGTGATAAGGTCGAGGTTGTTTTGACGATGTTGCAATCTACCCCACCCAGTACAAGAACAGAAATACTATCCGGCATGAATAATGACTGACTTGCGCGAACCAAAAAGACATCTGCAAGCAGCGTTATGACTTAGCTTAACACCCTTGGAGGGAGCGGCAAATCTTACTGCGGACAACTTAAAGTACATTTTGGAAGTATATGAAATCAACAGGTGGGTTCTATGATTTTGGTCGACAGAAGTTGTTTGATGCCGGTTCTAAAAGTGCTAGGGCAAAGTTATTACTAGGACAGGGCTTTAAAACTGATACGGGTAGGTTTGAGGGTCTCTGCCTTTGCTAGCATTTCAAGGTGGTCAGTAATTTCTGATGGCCTGCAATGGTGTGGCAAAATCAAAACTCCTCCTTTAGTGAAGGGGCAGACACATTTTGTCGGTGCCGCTCTTTTGCAACTCACAGATCATACCTTTAACACCTTCTATTTGACTGAATTCACGAAAAAACTAGGAGCTGGCATTCGAAAATGTAGGTAAATAGGAGGCTGATTAAGCTTTGTTATTCTAAACTAGGCGCAGGTATCGTCCAATTAAGTGTTAAAAGCACTGAAGACCTGACGTAAATGTATCGTCCTTTTTAATTAAGATTAGTAAGGGACTCCCTTAGCTGACCCTCCATAGAAAAAGATTAACAGCCAATGTTGCGCTCGGATCTTTGAAGCCATTTTTGCCACCTGCCGGTACTAGCAGGAATGTACCTTATCTCAAGCTGTTTGCTATTCGAGGCCCCATCCAATAAGTAATCTTTTAATAACATTTAGATTAGTTTTCTTTGGCTTTTTAAAATGTGTCATGGATCAGAATATAAATATCAACATCCAATTTTTTGGAAAGAAAACACCATGTTTCAAAGCACATTCCCCTACTCATTTCGGTGGAATTTCAAGGAGAGGGGAAAATTGCGTTACTAATAGACCTCCAACAGCCAAATTCCCTGACTCCCTTTCCACTATAACTTCAAGCAAAAATAGAACTAACTACCTTTTTTTCTTGCAATTTTAAAGGAGTATCTGCCGGCGAAAGGCCTAGCCTTCGATACTAAAGGCATCAGCAGAAAAGCGATTAAAATAAACTTGCCATATTGTGAGAAAATAATTTAATTTATTACTATAGTTTCCTCACCCAAAGGTATAAAATATGCTTTCTAACATAGTTTTAACGCTAATGCACGCAATTTTTTCCATAAAAAGTTAGCAATCAGGCGATACCCCTGAATTGCATATGTACATCAATTGTTGCTTTGTGAGTTTGAGGAAGAGGGACTCCTTCACAAAACTAATTTAAAAGGCATATAAAACAGCAGAGAGGAATTACTATGACCTCTGTAGAAATACATGACAGGAAGCATCCACTAGACACACCTCCAAGTACTTTAAGTGTGTCTAATTGACTGCCTTAGCATATCTGAACACACAGATTTGTTTTTAATTCTGCATAATCAAAAACCATTCATGAATTAAATGAACTTATTTAGATTTCACAACATGAAAAGCCTGAACAAGTAAACTGGCAATCTAAAATTGCTCTATGCACTGCAGTCGGTTTCACTCTCCAGCTAAGTGCTCATTTACACATCTCCCGTTTTAAAGGTTTAGTTTTTTTCTTTAATGAAGTTGGAACATCACTAAACATTTGTGATTAATGTCATCCGCTGGTGGCTGTTTAATCGGACCGGTTGTTTAACGAGAGCAAGACTTGAAAATCCCAGGCTCCAAGATTAGCAGTCGGATAGCCAGGGCAGGCTGAGTTTGTCGTTGAACCGTGTGCAAATTTCAAGCGCCATTCCTTAAAAAGGAGTATATTCCATGGTAACAGAAAAAAAGTCAGATTAAAATGAATTTCCAGAAGTCTTGACGCCCCAATGCATGTGGTGGACTGATACTTCAAAAGTTATCCTAGAGCATGAATTGGCAGAAGCGGATCAACTTTAAGGCTCAGCAATCATGCTTAGAAAATTTACATTAAACTAAATTAAATATGACTAGCTTTAGGATATCAGGTTGACTTTTACATGAAGTCCCACATTAGATCATAAAACACCTATGAAGCGCAATACATTCAGAATCGTTTGATGTTCCATAACATGTCTGAGTTACCGTTTCGGTATTTGTATTTGCGTCAAGAAATGCTGGGGATGCTGTCCATGCGTTTTCATAGGTTCACAGCAACACATTCAAATTCAGGGCCAAAGTCTATAAACGCTACCCTCTGTAATCCAACAGAGTGAGTAAAACTGCTCGATTCAAGGAGCCAACTAGCCAGAGGGATGGGTGATGTTTTCTCCTCCATTCTATCCTCTTGCATTAGTTTCTATCAAGCAAATGATCTCCCATTGTGGCGCCAGTTTTGCACTGTATTACATCATTCACCCCTCTATGTCCGGAATTCTTATCTCCTGTTTTGGACAAACCAATTAAAGCTGTAACTGGTTCTGTTTAATTGATGGGAACGAGGTATCAATCAAAATGCATTTAATGCCATTGTTGGCTAACTGGGGTAAGTTTGCATGATTCCGCATTTACCCTCCAGTTTCTTAAAACAATCTGCAGGGGAGGTCTATAACCATAAAAAACGCTCCTGCCTTGATTTCTCTGAAGTTGCCGTTTCACAGTTGGTTTCTGAGCATTCTAGAACGTTGTGCTCTCGCTCATTTCCGCCTGATCGGCTGAATTTGCGTATAGATGCAATTTAGATGTGCTAAAAATCGTACTAAAAGTAAGCGGGACTGGAAACACCGGGGAACCTCGACATTCTTCACCACTTCATAATCATGTACACCCGGCGGCAAAGGAGGCTGTATGGAATTCGTCTACTGCTCACCTTGGTTGGCAGCTAGACGGGATCCAAGATCATGGTCCCGACGACAGTTCATTACATAATCACATCAGTGGACTAGTGTTCCACGAATTTTCCTTCACAAATTGGTTACTTTTAGACAATATCCTTAATTGTGAACACACAGCCCTTTTATTGGTACCATGAAGAAGGAGATCAAAAACTGCACAAGCGACTAAGAAAGCTCTCATATTCACTGTAAACATAAATGCCAAATGTGATATCAGACTTCACATTTCGTCAAATTCAGAGAGTCTAGAGTTAAAAATGATGAAAATCAGCAAATAAAGCTTCGAGCATGCTAAAGTTTACAAAAATATGTAGTCGGGGATGCGCAGTGGTTTCAGAGAAACCACAACACGAAAAAGGAAACCAACTTTCAAGTTGGATTTGATGAAAAACAACGCTTTATGAAAACAAAAACGTAATAGAGGAAGCATTTAAATTAAAATTGGTCTGCCAAAAAACTACGTTTTCGTGCTTTAAAATGAGTTTCCGGTTTGAATTTCAAAAAAATCCGTAAATCTAAAAAAGCCATGGCGCTTCCGTTAACCAAGTTAGCGGCAATATTGTCAAAAGTGTTTAAGCCAACATAAACGAAAAAAATGAATCGAATAATCACCATACGAGGTACATGGCATGTAAACCCATTTAAATACGTATTTATAAGACCACATTTGGACGATTTAACGAAATCCTGCATTTGAATTATTTGTAAGCTGAGAGATTATATGGGATACGGATCAACGTACTGAGGGATGTACTCTTGCATTAGCAACTAAGATATACACAATTGAAACTGAGCAAAAACAAAAGTCTTCACGTTTCGGGTTAGTATACCTTTGGACACCAAATAAATCAAAAATACAAGGTTACTATTCGGCAAAATTATCAATAAATGATGCCTATTAAAAATTTGTGGCAAAGGAAACAGATAACAAATGGGATGGCTTTTTAGATTTAACATTAACATGGAATCGTGGAATGCTTTGACCTTTACAGTGATGAGCAAAATGCAATATTACTAAATTACTGCCATCCTTTGACTGTTGCATTTTTCACAACACATTCCACTGTTTATTAGGAAATAAAATAATAACATTAGTCTAACGACCAACTGACTTACTCATATAGTGTAATCAAACAAGCGATTTAATTTTTAAAATTCTTTAACGTGGTTGCCGCAGAAATGAAAAACTAAAGGCTGCTAGAAATTATCTTGAGTTTATAACTTTTTTGTTAATTGAACCCAAGTAATTTTAGCGAAAACTAAACTGCTTGCCATTGTAAAATTCACTTGTATCAAAACTGAGAACAATAAAGGTTCTTCGAAGACGTCAAGTTTTTATTTCACAAAAACAGTCACCTACCCCAAGGTGGTCATTGTAACAATTGTGTACCACGATGCAGTTGGTATGCTTGTAAAGCGAGAGGTCTCTGATTTTTCCGCATAATACATAATGGTAGCAAATATAATGATAGCCATGGACATGCTGAACAGTAGAAATCCCAGTTCAGAAGCGCACGACTTAAGAGTGTAGCCAAGTATGCGAAGACCCTGACTATGTCGCGAGAACTTAAAAATCCGGAACACGCGAAAAACCCTTAGGGTGGTAAAAGCCCCGGAGACATTCGTTGTCATAAAGAGGCCAATGTAGTAGGGAAGTACAGCGACAACATCAATGATTGACATCGCCGATTTGGCAAATTTGCACCGATTGGGAGCAGCGTAGAGACGAGCAAAGTATTCAACGGTAAAAATTAGAACACATCCTGTGTCGAGACAAAAAAAGGCTTGTTCAAACTGAACACCACAGGATATGGGCAGGCCAGTCTCTGCAGAAACTGAGCAGGTAACCGTTTCCACAATGTTTGCCAAAACTGAGAGAGCAATAAAAAAACCAGAAACGTAGTACAACACTTGACCAAAGTTAGTAAATTGTGGGTTTTCAAATGCAAACCATAGCTGTTCTCTGAATGAGTTTGTCTTTGACCGGTCGAAAGGTTGTTCTTCCTTTTTTGTCACAAACCGGTTAGCATCCTCCTTCTTCTTCTCCACAAAGTCCTCATAACAGCAAAGCCCCAACGCATCAGGCCGTATTCCAAAAAAGTTAAGCTCTTCTTCGTAGACGAAAACACACTCACTGCGCGGAAAGTGAAGCCGTCCAGTTCGATAATAGTTAAGAATATACCGGAAAACTTGGGGATCACGATCAAAAAAATATTCCTGGGTAAGTTCGTTGTAAAAGTACTCCCGTTCTGGTGACCCTAACAATGTAAAGGGATATCTATCGAGGGTTGACTGCCAAGTCTCGAAAATAGTACCACTAACGTTGATACGCGTTTTCTTTTCGAGATTTTTTGCGTCAGCTTCTGGTTTAGGTAATTGGTTTGACAGAATATTTAGAAGCGGCGTCCAGCCCATTGCAGAGGCCCGGACTAGGAGGAGCCATGAAAACATCCTATAAAATCGCAATTTGCGAAATGTTAAAATGCAATTTAATTTCGTTCGTAATCCTAACCTAACCAATAGACGAGGTGGATTTCAAGGGCAAGGCGTAATTTATGTAGCATAAAAAATGCACAGATAAACTTTGTTTACATACGCTAAAAACCCTAAAAATATTGTATTACTGAGTGGGAGACGACAAATTCTGGCAGTGTTGGTTATAGCTTAAGTGATTGAGCTGACCTGTCCGAAATGAATCACAGGAATAGCAGCTTCAAAGCCTCCGAGGGACGTAAATTCTTATTCATTAAAGGAGTATATGCCAAAGGTATTCAAACTTTAGTTACGGAATATCTCGTATAAATCGAAAATCCCGGGAACCACCATGGAGACAAACTTCATGCATGGAGAAATATATATGGTGGTATTTACTAGTGCATTTACAGTCTTCTTACTTAAGGTCTTGCAGCTCAGTGACGTTAATTGGTTTGGCCAGTTGTAGCACGTTCGATGCGGAAAACCTAATTATCATTCACTTTAAGGGACCATGTGCTGTTATAAATGTGGCTTAACAAGAAAATTACCACCTAATTCATTTGCCTAGTAGTAAAAAGCCTAAGTTCTAATTTCAAATTTTTGAGGGCTTATATATTTTAAAAACCTAACTGTTTATTTCGGGTTTTTTATTTAAAACTAATGATGATGTTAGTTTACAATAGGCTTAAAATAGGGTTCTAATTGCATTTTAACTATAAAAAACATTTTCTTAGGCCTTACTTTTTTAAACAAAATGTCTTAAGTTGATTTAGATATAATCTTATGTTTAGTAACGCTAAGCTCTATTTCCAAGGTCATCGTTCGTACTTTAATTTAGCCCAATGATCGCTAGCGGGTCGTTTTCTGGGGTGCGTTGCAGTGTTAGGCCGCCTGTTCCACTTGTTGCATTTAATTGACCATCTGTTCCTTGCTTTTGTGAATTTTTGCTATATGCGTGCTAGTTTTTGCATTTTTTTGCCATTTTTATCCCTTACTTAGCAATTGATTGCTATTTTACTGGCTCTCCTCTTTTTACCCATATGCATATTGATGATGAACTGTTCTAAAACCAACTTTGAGCATGACTGTCAGTTTAGATACAGGCAATTTAATTCAATAAATTAATGTAGCTAAATAGGGTGGTTATGCAATTAGTTACCAAGGCTCCTCTGATTTTTTGCTTTCCAGCTTGAGGAGCGACTTACTCTGTGCAAACGGGATCTGGACGAAAAGGACCGCCTCATTACAGTACTATCTAGGTACTAACAAATTTTCTCACATTTTGTGTTCATAGCGAGGTGAACTTGGGGTTTCGTAATGCACGAAATCAAATCATCCAACCAAATAAACTTACTGGTATTCAGGAAGAAGTTGGAGATTTGCGTTCTAAGGTAAATTCTTTTATTTTTTTCTCCAATTAGGCCTGTAAAAAAGGATGAGATCAAAAGTCTTTGAGTAAAATTACGGGAAATAGCCATAGCACAAAATAAACTTATGGAAAATTATAGCGATCGTTGCAAACAAGATTTAAACTGTTCGATTGTCATTAAGGAAAAGAAAAGAGAATTGACCTCCTTGGAATCGATGGAGCGGTCTATGCGAGAGAAGGTTGAGCGGGTTGAAGAGGCTTTGCGTAATTCCCTCTCTCAGATCGTTGACCAACAACAAACAATTCGGTAAAATAAATTAGAACTGCTTTTGCTTATTTTATTGGTGAGTAATTTAAAACTTATTTATAGACAACTAATGATAGACAAGGAATGCACAATCCAAAAGGCTTCAGAAATGGATGAAAAGTTTAAAAGTTTGGTTGAATGGATGCAAGTGATCATAACCTCCACCAAGCCAGCTCTTACTGATCAAGAAGAAACCGATTTCTCCGACGAAGCTGTTCAAAGGCTTAAAACAAAAGTGAGCGCTTTACCCTTTATATTAATAATAAGATATAAATAATGGCGTTATAGTCCGCCCTTAATAAAACCAATTACCTTTTACAAGATCGCTACAAGTATCACATTATCCCGTCAAAACGCGGTTCGCATTGAGGAACTTCAGAGCAACCTCACAGCTAAAGACGTACAGATTTCTCATCTGAAGAGCGTGGTTGCTAAGTTGGGCTGTAGTTTGCGGCATTCCACTGAGGCTGGGAAAGAGCCAAAGAATGAGAACGATGTGAGTTTTAAGCTCTTCTAATCCTTTGTGGAACTTTAGGTCTCTGGAGAAAATTAGACCAGTACTTGACGTCGAATTAATTGTTGGCTATCTAGGAAGCGTAGCTAGTTTTCACCTCTACGTTCCACTCTACCTGGTTTTATTTCAACTGTATCACAACGTTGAGTGTTAACAATTTTTTGGCCTCCTTCCGACAGGTTTGCAGGCCTATTGGATTAGTCGATGTGTTATGTTCTCCTTCTCGCTGCAACTGTTGCCATAGCAACCGTTTTTTGCATTGTTTATTTCTCAATAGCTCAGACCTTAGATATTATGAACACCCCGAATTCTGGTGCGAAGTAGCACATTTTCAAAATTTTTCGGAAAATTGTTGGCTCATTTATTAAAAGGCATTCAACAGTGCATTACATATATTTAGTCGGCCGATTTGGGGCGTTTAGGAAACAGAACGATGCAAGGAAGACTAGACTCACAAGTGAAAGAAGCTAGAATGGAACTTCCTCCCTTCAAAGAGAACCCACCCCAGCGCGATCTGGAGTCTTTGACGAAGAATAAAAGTTTCAGGTAATTCCGAGTGGTTATGAATAAATTACAACTATTAGCTCTTGAATAACTCTAATGGGTGTTTTATGATTCCCGTCTCTACCACTCTCTAGGGTATGCGTCGATCAAATATACCAGTTTTAGGCAATCTTTTTCCACACTTTTAGACAAACTTTGGCTGATTCCCTAAGCAGGTCGGGTTGGATTTGTGAAGATTTGGAAGAAGAAAAATTACTTGATGTTGTTCGTCGAGTGTTGGCAACACTTACGAGCAAAACTGAAGTCAGTTACGATTTCTTAATTGTACAAGCACAACTTAGTAATTCGAAGAAAAGCTCTTTCTAAATTGGAAATAAGAATATTTATAGAAGCCTGTAGTTATTTCAAAAAATGTTTGCGAGCAATATGCTTTAGCTAACCTTTCAAAATCTTTCACAATATTAAATTTCGCTGGTTGTATGTGAAGGCATACCCATAATGGAGCGTATTTATTCTTCCTGAATGCAGGCCTGTTGCCGTTTGCAATCTCAGGTGACAGAATTGATTGACAGGTTGGCGGCGTCAGAGAGAAGGGTTGAAAAGGTGGAAGAGAAGTGTTCGAAAATGCGAGCAGAGCGAAGTCGAAGTCCCTCAAAATCCGTCGGTTTTTTGCCCTGCACAACTGACTTGGAGGACGCTTATGGGCGAGTACGCGTCTCTTTTGCCTTTTTCGTCTTTAAACGTAAACTCACGAAATAGCATTTCCTTCCTGTTTTAAATCTTTAGCTGCTGCAGTTTTTGAAGCAATTGGAAAACCGGATTCCTGTTGATCAAACAATTTTTGAGCAAATGAGTGTGGCTGATCAACGTGATTTCATCCTTAGTGAGCCATTCTTTATCTTAATCCTAAGTAAGATTGGACACATTATAATACTTAGGCGTTGAGAGATCTTACTGCTCTCAAGCACCTTTTCCCGTGTATTATTACTAAAGAGAAATAGCTTGGTAAAAGCCGGCAAGAGTAAACAATAATTCATTTTTTTAGATCCTTATACACTTTGAAGTCTGTAAATTATGATACACGGAAACAGAGATCCACTATAATTGTTATTATTATCCTAGCCATTACTTCCGGTAAATTAACGATTGAATGGGTGTTTTGTCTACCGTAATTGTATGATAAGATAAAAGTGCCTGACTTCAAAAGCAAAACGGATGTTAATTACATGTTAAGTGCTTGCTTTTTTATTTTATCCGTGGAAATCGATGGCGAAACCGGCTTTTCAATTGTATAGTAGTTGCTGGAGTCGCCTGTTTCAGTGGTTATAGGAAATGGGACAGTGAGCGAGGCCACAATTTCTATCAAAACGCCTCCTTAAGGAAAGAAGTTGCGTTTAGTGTTTGGAGACAAATTTTACATACGAAATCTGAAACTTTTATAAAAACGCTTTGAACGCAATCTTTGAGCACTGCATATTTCGAAGAACTTAAACTAAATATTCTTAAAATTGACAGTTAAAGTGCTTAATTTTGAACGCAAATGCATGCACATAGAAGGGAAATATGGAGTGATGGCATTACGAAAAAAGTTTCTAAAATTAATATGGAAAATAGTGTGGCAACTGGGGTCGTAATTTTACCGGTAAAATATTAGAAGCAATAAAATTGTGCGTAAATAATTGACAATAGGTCTGCACCACAAATTTACTAAAATTTCCGCTTTTTTGAGTGCCTTGTCCTGTATTCGGGACCATGCGATACAACACTCTACTTGATTTACATAAGTAGCAAAATTATTTCGGACGCGCACAGACTATGTGGAAGAATTGACCACACCCTCGCCGGCCAAGTCGGAGAGCGAGTTAGCGCCCAAATTGCACAAACGGGTACAGCGACTTCAGGACGAGCTGGCAAGCCGCGATCTACAACTGAAGACATGGCGTCGGAAGGTTGACAAACTGGAGGAGCAGTTGGTGATAGCCAAGAAGAACGAGGCAGAGGCCACTGAAAAGCATGTTTTCGCCGAGCAACGCGCTGCACAACTCCGTAAAAATGAAATGGAGACCAATAAATTAAAAAATGAGGTGCTGCAGCTTAGAATTCAACTCAAGGACAACAAAGATGTTAAAGTAAGTTATAACAAGGATTATTTTTCCTGATTTCTATTTGGAAATGTGTTTGTAATTTCACAGTGTTGCTGATATTTGAAAATTGCTTGTTTGTGTGCTGCACGTTTTTTTATTATCGGAACTGGATACGATACATTTGCAGGAATTGTGGGCCTTTCAAAAGTTTACTTGTCATTTAACAAACAGCAAAGCACTTGCCTCATTCTCACTTGCACTTTCCCGTGCACGTTCCGAAAAAAAGAATTCGAGCTTCGTTTTCTAGAATAATTGTTGCGTAAAATGTAGTCTTAACTTTTGTTTAATATCAAGATTCAATAGCAGTTCTAGGATAGGTATCCTGATTTCCCTGTTAATCTAATTTCACCTATTCTCACGTGTTTGACTATCTAGGGAAAGAACGTAAACTTTAAACCCGTATGTTCTCTTTTTTTGGTTAAACTTTTTCTCTGTGGGACAAATAAACTCTTTTTACATCCAGAAATAACTGTATTTTTGAAAAAGTTTCATGATAATGGTCTTGAATCGCTTCTACACAATATAGACGTATAGTTCTACGTGTATTGCTCTGGTAGAAGAAGTAATTCCATAGATTTGAAACCAACCATGATAAAAACGGTTTCAGTAAAAACCACCCTCAGAATCTCTGGTGCACGAATATTCACCAACTTAGTCTCTGATCCATTCATAAATATAAGCAAAAAAGCGTTGCTTTTCTTTCACAAGAAATAGTACTGAATAAATGACTGTTACACCTTCAACCCATTGTAGGGGTTGAAGGTGCACCTTAGGTGAATTAGCGACCCAACTGTCCAACTTGCATTGGCTACTGGAGATTCGATAAACACAGCGTGCTAACCATTTGTAACATTTGCAGCACTCCTACTGATAGATATCGACGGGTCTTCAGCACTCCTACTAGGAATTCCTTCGCTGACGTCCCAGAAACACTAGTCAAAGGAGCATAAATGAAGGAATCCAGAGGTCCAGTGTTAGGAGTCGCATAGGTAGGAAAAAGCTTGATAATTCATTCCTGCGCTGGATGGGCTCTGTGAAGAACGACTGCGGTATTACTGAGATCACCTTAATGCTCGTGGGCGGATTGTTGGATTGATCATAGGGCTATTAGCTACTATTGCAGTTCGTAGAGCTTGAAAGTGCAGGATTTTCTGTTTTTCTGATTAACGTCCAATTTTGATATAGTTTATCTTCGTTTGAGGTAAATCACACTTTGTTAGATTCCATTTGATGAGCGATTTTTCTGCAGTAGGCTCTTCAGTTTGTATGGGATGTAAATTGCGACTCATGTTCTAACCAAATTTTTACCCCATGCTTCCATACACAGCAATTCAAAGACAATTTACGCTTTGCCATGATTTCTTGCTGTCGTGGCCTTTCTGGCTACGCTTGATGTTCATGACAGCAAAGGATCATCGCTTGTATGCTTTGTATTTTTGTAGCAGGGAAACAATTTCCACCGGAAGTCGAAAGTGGTGTGACTTAGTGGTGGTTGCGAACATCCTTTAATTGGCGAGCATTTCATTACTTCGTGTAGACTTTTGTGCTCTTTTTTAAAGCAAAGAATGAAATTACCCATAAATAGGCGTTGGCTACCAGTGTTCAATCGGAGTTGAGCTTGCATATACTTGGGACCCATATTTTGATGCATTAATAAAAAATAGATCATCCAAGGAGGTAATGTGTACTGAAATTCCCCACAGGATCGGCTGGAACAGAAAACGACGCGGGTTGTTGAGTTGGAGGGATCACTACGGGACCTTGAGGAGATTCGCCAACGACAGGCCAACCGAATTGAGGAGTTGATCACCACACTGGAGACGGAAAAGGCCGCGATGACTAGGAATCTCGTTCAACAAGCCCAACGTGTTCGCTTCGATGTGGATCGTGATGACGCTACTCAGTTACTAGAGGAATCTCGTAAAGAGACTCAGGAGGTAACTAGTCGGCATGGGGGCCACATCTCTTCCATGGATATGCATGAAGGGTGTTCTTCTCTTCTAGGAAATGTCGAGAATCAGCATTAAGCAATTTCATGGTCATTTGTTTTATTAGGTTGCTTCCAATATATGTTAGCCCGTTAAAGCCGAAGTAAATGTGGTCTTGCATAACCAATGCAGCAGCCATGACAAATTCTTGAAGCAAATTCCAAAAAGAATGCACTGATAGAAGTAAACTTTCATTTCTCAAGGGTACTTTTCGCGCCTTGAAAATAACCTGCCAAATAATCTTTTTTTTCCTTTTCATGACCTTTTCTCGATCAACACTTTCTATTTAACCGGATGTAGCCCAACTCTGTAGCGAGATGATTCATCCTCTATATATATTTGTTTAGTAAATAAGAATGAGGGTTGCCAACTAAAGTTGCTTGAATGAGGCTAGTTATGGGCTGACTTTATTTCGACTCAGACCGGCGTCGGAGAAGGTCATTTCGGATAAGTGACGAGTAACTTAGGGAGGCTTTTGAAGAATTTTAGCAGTAGAAAAACGTTGTCCCTACAATGCAGCACTTTATTATTCTTTTTCTAGCACTTTGCCGGGATTTTTTTCATGCATTACTCACCTTTTAAAAGTGTGGAAAGGTAGTTTTGAGAAGTGTGTAATACCCCAACATAGGTGTGTAGCACCCCGAGACTTCTCTGAAGACGAAGGAAGGTATGCTACTCGGGCGTAATATGTATTGTCGACGTGCTGTAAGGGTTTGGACCATTGACATGGCCAGGAGCCCGGGTTGCCCGGTGAAAGTAAAATGGCGGAGACCCTAAGTGGCCCATCGCTAAAACCGAGAATTAACCAAACACTTAACTTATTATAGGTGTATGAAAACACCCTTTTGGTTGTTCAGTAAATAAGTATACAAAAGTTTGTCATTCTATGTGGTTTCTTAGTCTCTCAATTTTGATTCTGATTCAGAATTAAATTTAAATTTAAACCTGCGAATTAAATTTATACCTTTTAAGGTCCAAAGCTTGTTTTTTTTGCACAATTGCGTTTGGATGGTCGTAGGGTAATAAAAGCTTTAGTTTATTTTCTTACTATTTTGTATTCTTCTTCGTATGTTTTACTAACACTTTTGCTCTTCAAAATTCGGTGGAGCCATGGGCTTTTGGAACGGATTGCTTCCTTCTGTAGGATCTATCTTCTACTTTGGCATAATAGAACTTACTTGGGTACTTTTGAATTCACTAATGCTGCACGCCATAGCCACCCACATAAATTTCCGCTTCTCCACCTCTCCTCATCCTCGGACGTGAAAGCGCTTTGACATCCTCCTGTTTGTCTTTCTGTGTGTCCAGAGTTAACTCCAAGCTATTCATTTGAGCAAATTTATGCTTTTCGGACTTGGATAAGAACACGTTAGTACAAAAACGGTTGCAGAAATCATCCATACATTAGTGGGCCCCTTCGAGCATCATACAAAACTATGGAACTTGCCTCTCAGAATTTTTGAACAGTTTCTGGGTGTAACCAAAATTGAGACTGGAAGCGAATTCCTGTCTTCGTGTTCGTGCACTTGTTAAGCCGCGCAAACCAAGCGTTAGGGAGCCCACTTGCATGCCCTCTTGGTGGCCGTAAATTCGCCTTACCATTTGGAACTGTTGGTGGGATCGTAGTTTGTTTTCGGCATCGCAAAAGCACACAGAAAAATGCAACTCCTGATTGTGTAGCAACCGTAATTCAGACCGCATGCTAATGACTAAAAAGCCGCATTGGGCACAAACACAACAACACTTGCGCATTTCCTCTTCACCTCTCCGTCATTGGTTTACTTCAAGGGGACGCTGTGTGTCACTGTTAGTAGCTGCACCCATACACGAACGGCGATCGTTCTGTGGAACAGCCAACCGACTAGTTTCATTCCGTGTGATTTATGAGGTGTACAGGTGTGAACCCTTTGAACTTCTAAACACGCGGTTTTATGGTTCCGTGCTATTAGTCACTTCGATGTAAACAAATCCAAAATCAAGCTGATCAAGAATCACAGTGCGATTATTCTTTTGAAGAGACTATGAAGTAAAAACGAGTTATCCATAGTCTTTATGGTAATAAATGAATGTGCACTGATTTGATTTCCTATGCAAGTTCTATTATTTCGTATTGGGAAATCGTTTTATGTTTATTTACAAGCACACTGGAGTTAACATTCTGGAGTTGACTTAATCTAGGCGCAAATGCAAGGTTTTCTGCCAAAGTGTCATTGTTTTATCCTCATTGAGCAAATCCTCGTCGCTTAATGAAGGAGTTCTGACTGAAATTTGGTCCTAAAATAGTTGAAAAATTGCCAAAACTTATGCCTTTACAAGTAAATTTCGGGAGTGCTACGATTTATTCGCAGTCATTGTTTGCAGTAAGGGTGCTTTTTAACACTTTCATACCAACGTCACACATATGTGACATCCCGATTTTCTTATCTGGACCTAATGTCACAAATGTGTGACGTGGTTTTTCATCCGCTTAGGGTGAAGCGCGTGTCGCAAATTAATTGATTGTGGAACACTGAATCAGGTTGCTGACATTTCAATCCCAGAGATGACTATATTTCTTAATATTTGAAATGATTGAACGAATAAACGATGTTTAGTCTCACATCAGAACAGTAGGATATCTGGACCCTTGTGAATGCTTTTCTGAGACCCAGAGTACCCATGTGAGAATTTCGCGTGATCATTGAGCTCTATGCGTTGCATTCCAGCTGCGTGACTTTCGGGATATAGTTGGTCGTCTGCTTGGAATGCGCGTGAACGATCTCCCAGAGCCAAATAAGGACATCCTGCGCGGAGTGGAGCGACTTCTCAAGGAGTCCGGACGCAACTCTCTCAACCAAAGTACCTCTCTCTGCGTTCGCAGCGTTTCGCCTCGTAGGGCATTCCATGGCTGTAGTGCACGCATGGGATCCACTCATGGTAAGTCGGTGTTTACCATCATTTAAGATCAACGACAATAATGTTCATTTGACTAGAACTGAGACCATTCTGTCGGTTTGAATTGGTTAAGAAATAACTTGAATGAATATGGAGAAAGGGACCCAGAATCCAGGATGAGCAAGTGACCTTTACAAAAGAAGCCTTCCTTATCCACTCTTAACAGTGCATCATGGATTCTCTTCAGTAACAGCTTTCGTCAGTTATTGAGATTTGCTTCCGTTCATTTTGCTGCAGCCACTACTTAAATTTGATTGTCCACTGATCACGGTCCTAGGTGATTCGCTGTCTGGTGGGTGATAGGCCTGTGAAATTGTCGAAGTGCCTTTGGCTTAAGGGTAATTTAGAAGCCATGCTTGAACAATCTTTACGAGCTAAAGGTCGAGTCAGACACGCCATAAAATTATATCTTTTTACGCCAAATGAGTCATGTTTTGCCCGGGGACACTGGTGAGGCCGGTTAAGAAGACCCGATTTTCGTTTACTCAAATATCCAATAGTACAATCATTTTTCTTTCCTCATATACTTATCTGATTTTTAAAAATTTAGACTGACATATTATAATCAGTTTGGTGTACAGAGCTGGTTGAGTATAAAACCACAGATTAAGGGTCTTAACAACTGGTGACAGGTCTAATTTGATGTCATTACGATTATACTTGGGGTGAAGTAAACAGACCGGTATCCCGGCACAAATGGCATGTGTTTTGCACAATCCTCACAACACCAGTTTCCAAGCCGCTCTTAACAAGAAACACTTGGGTCTGCCCTAGCACAACTGTTCGCAAATCCCCCATTCTCGTATTCACTCCAATAAGAGGCCGCCATGAAAAGTTCCACCATTCCATTAGGGGTAGTTTCGGATAAGAAAAATTAGTAGCGGTTGCTGCTGCTGACGGTGATCATTTGTCATAGTTGCTTCGAAGTAAAGTGGAAATCAATGGAAGTTGAATTTGCCTTCAAAGAAAAAGCAATTCGTGTTTTATCATCGGTTAATTGGAGAAGGAATTGCAATCAGGAGTCAAGAGGGTTTTCTTTGGTTTCGTACTTGTTTTTTTTTACTATGCCTAGGTTAAAATTCAGGGCGTCTTATCAATTGCCCAGGCTTCAGAGCATTGCGTTGAATTTCAGTTTATTTTTACTCGACATTTTGCGTCACTGGTCTTGTACTTGGTGACGTTGTAGATGTCTCCATGACGCGTCTTTTAACGTGACTGGGTGTTGCCAGAACTTTAAGCGTCTACCCTTAGTTCTGAGGACCACTTCAGCAGTGCAATCATTTAACGTCCAGATCCACTTTTTGCCATTTTTTCCAGAACTTATGTTTACTATTTCCTATCTCTAGAATGTAAGTAGTTATCTTTAAACCAAATAGATGAGTTTTTTAATGTTTAGAGAATACCCATTCGTTCAATGCTACACATTGAAAAATCGCTTTCCTGATTCACTAACTTACGAGGAAATTGTAGCGCAATGTAGGCAACTGTATACTCATTGACTGGAGCTTCCTGCATTAGATAAATGGTAGGACTATCGTAATTCATTGCAGGCATATTTCTCCAGAGTACTCATTCACATTTCCTAGCTGCTCCGACTTCATTCTGTTCTTCCGAAACCTGATCCAGTGTCACGCCTCATTGTTGTAATTCCAAAACTCCATAAAGCACTCCATGTAAATTTTTGGAGACGTGGAAGCCAAATTTTATTTTTTCTGCTACTACATGGATGAGCTTGTAGTTTTAGATCACAATGCATCGACCATTAAAAAAGGGACTTAAAATAATATTTGCTTTGAACCCAAACGCATTCGATGTTGCTAATAAATTTCATTCATGCGGCTATGATTCCACCATAAATATCTTATCTTTTCTCGCGCCAGTCCAAAATTATTCGAAGGAATTTCTTCCTTTTTTTCTGATATGAAAGAACTCAGCTCTTAGGGAATTGTTAACTTTTGGCCCGGTCACTCACATTTTGGCGGTGTTACTTTGAAGAAAACTTATCTTAAATGCATACCGGTGGCTAGTCGAGCCCGCTTCGCACGTCCCTCTACGGCTTCCATGGCATTGTCTTCCGCCTTACCCATGGGTTATCTTTGAAGTGCTCCAATGAGACACACCGTGGTAGTAGACAGAAAAAAGGTAGACCATGGGCAATTTTATTGTCCACGTTAGCACGGCACGAGTCTTAATACAGGGTCATTTAACCAGCCGAAATTGGTCACGAAACCGGCCGTTGGGCATTGGTTAAACTTCATTGACTGGCATATATGTGGGTTGGTCAATTGTTTGCCTCTTCAATTATTCACCTGACAGTAAGCCTTCAATAAAATTTCTTAAAGTTTCAACCATCCGTTATGAATAAAGCCATATAAATTGTAAACCTGCAAGTTTGCAAGTACGCTGCATGCCAGGTGGCGGATAGTCATCTTTCTCTCTTGCTCCTCCTCCTTAAAAGAGGAAATTGTATGGTCTCAAAATCCAATATCCCCTACTCATTTTGCTCCCAGTCAGTTCCCTTTGAGTCGTGGTACATGCGGTGATTTTGACTGTGAGTCTACGTTAATCAGGCACAGAACCCACATCCATTTTCGTCTAACGGTAATGAGGTCAAGTACGGAGAATATCCTGTTCCCCCCCCCCCCCCGGTGCCAGCAACATGGGCACGTGTATAAATGGCGAGGTCGATTACTCATCACCGGAGCTTGTACGATTCTATACTCTCCACGTGTTAATTTGGTGTGGTAGTGGTTAGGTCCGGTCATGAACATCCTCCTCCCGACCTTCTTCCCTCCACCCGCATCCCCACCCTTCGCACCATATCACTATCATCGTGCATGTCAACGGTAAAGGTCAGGCGGTCGTCATGACCATAACAAGGTCCTTTACACGCAATCGTGCACGCACACAACCACCTTTTGGCCTGCCAACATGTCTTCAGCAGGTAAAACAACAACGGGCATCATATTAGTTACTGGAAGAATATGTGCGCACACGCCGTGGATGAAGCTCGCTATTGTGTGAATCATGGGCCAACCTTCTGCCAAAATACGTGTTTCGAGCACCGTTTGTAATTTCGTTCACTTATTTGCCGTTGCGTAAAGGAGACAAGTCTGAAGGGAGCTATAGCGACCGGGATAGGTCAAATGAGCCTCCTACTTCTATTCATTTATTCAACTTCTTCAATTTTCATATTAACTTTTGGGAGATTTGATGTTTCAGCCTCATAGGTATTTGAAGATTCCACGTATCGTTCATGTCTTCACTTGTTAGCATCGCTGGGTGCAGTGATAACTGAAGGCTTCATTAAACATAACCGGGCTGTGAGGCGAAGTTAGCTTGTATAGAAATGGCATTACAGTCCTTCACGTTGAACTTGAACCAGGTTTAAAAGTTGCTGTAAACATTTGCTTTTTGTAAACTAACTGATATGATTGAAGATGTTAGGATGTGTTTAAACTCTTGGGGAAATTTTGGGGATGATAACTTTGCCATCGAGGTGGTGTAAAACTGTCAACCATAAGGTGAAGTCAGTGTAAGGGTGTTATTTGACATTTCATTATAGGATCCGTAAATGAACAGAAGAGTAAATTCTAGTCCACATTCGTGACTTGAGGTTTCTAGTTTGATTTCGACAAAGTGCCCATCTCAGCCTAGTAAGCGTTTGTAAATTTTTTCTTCAGTCACAGAAGATTGTTTGACTGACACGAGGATGTCAAATGTCAAAGTTTTTTCGCTTGTGCTGTTTCATTTCCCAAAATTTCGCTCCGCGAAGGCGAACTTGCATAAAGCGACTCTTAAGGTCTACTATTTATAACCTTATTGTAAATCAGCCAGAAGCATCGGGGTTGCTGTCTTAGTACTATAACTACCTGCAAATCTTGCAAACACAATATTGAAACCTTATACAGAAAACGATACAGTGAACTTCACTGTCAAAATAATGCGCATCCCTATTTGCCACTTTTTATACCGCTTGCTTGATCAAGCAATTTGCCTTCTACTGGTGCCTGAATTATGCAGTTTTCAATTGAGCTAAGTGGTTTTATGGACAAAAAGCTTCCTAATTAGTGATTTTGCTCCAGAAACTGACTGACAACTTTGAAATTTATAATTTTGCTGTTCATTAGTTGATTAATTGTAATTGAGTGATAACTGTCGCCTTCAAGCTTCTTTTCTGCCTGTAATTCTCTACAACACAGTGTGTCGATAAACGGTGTGACTTTTGTGATACTAATTTCATATATTTTAGTTTGTTGTTGTGAGAAGCGCTTACAAATATGCACATGTAACTTCCAAAAGCAGTTTAATATGCATGGATGCATTATGATGTTTCGGTTTATGTATTCATAAAATTGAGGCGAAAACCTTTTAGCGACAGAACTATTTTTACATCATTTATCCACGGTGTAGCAAATCGTGAATTCCAGCGTAAAGGTATTCTCCTGAAATGCTGCAAGTGGAAATTTATTCCCTTAGTCGTCAAGTCTAAGAAAAAATTGAGCGTTTTTTTGTAATGTGTGCAATTAATTTGAGAGCTCTAACCTAAATCTCAAGGGAGTTCCATTGAGACATTCAATGAGCTATTTGCAATTAAATGATAACAAGAATCGAGAAACAAAGGGACGAAGCAGACAAAAGTCATCTACGAGCCAATTTTTTTCCCACTTGCCAACTTCGACACTAACACGTTCTGCGCTTAATAGCCTTCAGCGACTCGGAGCCAGTAGCGCCTGAACGAGCGAGCGGTCCGATGCAGCACACGGAGGTGGGTCACGCGCGTAGCAGTCTGCGAACCTCCGTCCCGACCTGCTGTCCCTCCTCGCCCCTCCTTAGTAGCGCCTCGTGTTCATCCGGTTCCCAGCAGCCCCCAGCGCGCGACACTCGAAGATACTGATCTAGTCCGCCTTGTTCTTGACCACAGAGATTAAAACATGCAGCATTTACTCGTCCCTTACTTATGTGGATCTGAAAATGACTCTAAAGGCTGTGCTTAATGCGTACGAATGAAGGGCTCTATCCCATCTGCGATTAAGTGCATTTTCTCTAATTTTGAATGACGATTACCGCTGGGAACTCAAGCGTTTGGAGTTATATAGAGTTAACAAGCATCACACACTTTTTTGCTTGCGTTTGGAAAAGGTTGCGAGATCATGGCCATGATCGGAGAGTCAGGCTGTCCAGTGGAGGTACAATTTCCCGCTACTGATGAACCCGCGCAGTCAAATGGGCAGTAAAACTAGAGTGACTGGTACATTTATGTTAAACAACTGAAGAGCTTTGCCTGAAATCCAGGTGGTGGATTTGCGTCAGCTTAAAACGAAGTTTTGATTACTTTTATTATAACGAAATTGGCAAATCCTAGTTCTCTGGCAAAAACTCATTTGCGACCAAATGGTTTTTGTAAGAGTTTGAGAAGTCAACACTTGACTTCATCTCCTAATATTTCGGCTTATTTAAAAGCAACAAGATGGTAATGCACTTTCAAAGCATCTATGATTTTAAGGAATTGCTTTCTAGTCACTTTTGTGGCATCCTCCACGAAATCTTTTGTAAAATTTCTTTCTTGGAATCAAATGGGGAATTTCTGGGGTCGTAATTTCTACAGTTCCGGTAAAATTTTATAACCTTTCAAAGAACCGTGACGCAAGATCAATGTTTCCTGTTGGTACATGTCCTGAATTGCCGTTTGAACCTCCGCAGCTAAAACGTTTTTGCAATTCAAAAGAAATTCTTACTACGCAAAACTGCCACCTCGTTCAGAATCCCTCCCGTCAAAATAGCAATGTTTTTTTCCGAAAGAACGGTGACTTTCAAAATTACTGGAGAAGTAGTGTGCCACAAGCTCAAACGGTCGTTGAAAATAATTGCTTGACAAATTCCGGATTTCTAAACTATGGGAATCGTTTATGTTTCTCAAATGGTAATCATTAAGCGCCAAATTTTTGCTTTGACTAGCGTGTTTTTCATTTTCTACTGCTTGCACATGAGTTGTCGCCTTCATATTCCGCATTTGCACTGAATTCACACTTTTCCTTGGGATTTGCAGGCACTATGGGATTTCTTTTTTGGGGCTCATTAGTTTTTCTAGACAGGGTCAGATTGGCGTTATTCTGGTCATTTTGACTGGGAAAGGGGCGTTCGCGTGGACAATATTCATGCTTATCCGCAAACCAAGCATAGTTTTGACAGGTTGCAGCCGAACGTTGCGCAAAGCCCTATCAGACTAGAAGGATGCGGAAGCAATCTCATGGTGTCAAATGAAGCACTCCCGATAGTTTGCGGACAATAGCGTGTCCACGACACGCGTGTTGTGTTACAAAATATTTGCCCAGGAATAAAATTTTTCCTTTAATTCTGCTTTCTTAATGAGGCGTCTTTTTTCATTTAAACGAACTTTCGGATTCATTTGCATAGCTTTGTCATTATTTGATCCTACAGTACACAGGAAATGTAGTTTTGTTTTGGGATTCCATAAAAAACTGTTGGTACTAGAACGATCCTTCTTTTCCAGTGAACCCCATGACACCAATGGTTTTGCAGTGTCAAAATATTTGCCTAGTTTTGTAAAAAAAGACAATCTACTTGAAACATAGTACCAGCTTTGTAATGATAACATTGTAACAATAATTCGCACTAATTGTACATTTGTTGTCATTGTTAAACAACAAATTCCAACTTTTTAATGGGCATCAACATCAGTGAATATGTAGGCAAGGAAAAGAATGGTTAGATTTAGCTGTATGACTTGTAATTCCTTAAAGCAAATATTATTAAAATCATTGCTAGTTCTACTATTTTCGGACATCTTTTATACCTACGGACCTCCTATCTCGCCACTACCCATCTCAAACCTGTCCACGTAACACCAGGATTTCGCTATCCAAATAGTAAAACACAACTTTTGTTGACACAATAACGTCTGGGTTGTTTTGTCTCAATTATTGTATATTTTTAAGTTTGAAAAACGTATCAGAGTATGGATAAACAAGCACCGTTATTCACTTAACTGACACTATCTAACCTCTGACGAGTGACGATGTACCAAACCCCATGAAGGGCTTTTGCCGTTTTGATTCCTTTTATTTTTAGTATTGACAAATGCAGTAAATGGTTTTCTGATCGGCACTTAGCTTGATCCAAAAATTGTCCAGCATGATTTGTGTTTGCGTAATTAAACAACCTGGTGTGACTTATTGCAACCATTTGTTCAATTTTATTTTTGAATGCAATGTCAAATAGTTTTTTCCAACATTGGAAATTGTGTAAGTTGAGAGTTGACTGGGTGCTTTATGGCTGTCGTAGGGTTATTCTCGGGCTAAGAATATTTCACATTTCTCTTGCTGTTTAAAATTCAACCAATTTCTTTACATCACGAATTGGAATGTCCGACCTCATTCCCATTAAAAATTGTATTGTCAAGAAACTACAACTTTATTGCAAAGTCCTTGAAATAAATGAATAAACTGGCATTTAATTTTAATGTAAATAGGCTCATTCACTTTTCAACTGCCATTCTTTTAGGGCTGTATTCTCTACGTTTTCATCAAATAAAGTTGGAGTGACACCTACCCAAGTAATCTCACACTTCAAGCGCTAGCTTTCATTCCTGTCAAAATGTTGCTTTAATGGGACAAGGCGATGACTGGCACTACAATATGGTGCTGTCTCAAGTCCTCATGGAGAGGAATTTTAACCGACAACGCATACCTTCCTTACCATCGCCAATTAGCCTCATTTTTCATCATTCTACAAGAATCTACGCACAGGATTGGTGCAAGCGTTAGGTTCTCCTTTAAAAAAGAAGAATTGAAATGAAGAGTATCTTTATTTGATGTTATTAGTGTTTGGGAAGCATGACTAAACAATCCAATAAGTCCACGATATTTATCAGTCGCCCTCCTCTCAATCAAGAAAGGAATATTGCTTTCTTTAAAACGTTTATCATAAAACAATTACACTAAAACCTCTTTACAATAAACGCACCTATATCGCCTATGTAAGAAGTGATATTAAATGATGTCAGAATGGATCGCGAGGGGAGAGGGTGTGTTGCGGTTGGGTGCCGTTGGAAGGCCACGGGCTACGCATGTGCGTATAAATGCGTGTATGCATCGAGGGTACATGCATATGTACTGTTAAAATTTCATAAGCATTGGGGCTGTACAGCACTAACTTCTCATTGGAGAGATGTGGTTATATCTGCCAAAAAATAGTTGCAAGCAAGGAAAGAAGGCACGAGACTGTGGGCGGATCAGTCAGTCGTCTCGTCTCAAACCGGTTTGTGACCGTTTTCCCCCTTAGCCATCGCACCACTCGCCGCTGCCTCGTCCGTAAGCCGTTTGCGTTTGAAGAAACCGCACCGCCACATGATAATAATAATGATGATTAGTAGAAGGATGCCCAACACGACACCGACGATGACGGGGAGGATGGGGATGGTTTGAGTGATTATCATTTTAATACCTTCGAAGACGAAGTTCTGCGAGACAGTCAGGCCGGTAATGGTGAAGTTGCCCGTTACTGGTATGCCGAAGGCGTACAAAGGAATCTGGGCAGTTGCCGTGATAACGATGGCGACGTCTGAGAACTTATGCCGGAAGAGAGTGTCGGCCCACACCCATCCACGGAAGACTATCCGCACTGCGTCGCCCCGACCAAGCCGGTCAATTTTGCAGGGAATCTGGCAGTAAAAGCACGATTAAACCACCAAACAAAGGCACCATTTTCTTTGAAAACAGTGAATCCGCTCGTGTAGTGGAATTAGGAGTGAAACCGCACTTTTTGGCCATTGCTTTTACTAGAAAGGCTCCGTTCAGTGCTGCCCTTCACTGCAGTAAGAGGTACTTCTGTACTGAATTTGTTATAAGGCTTGAATCAATTAAGTGTCAAAAAATAAAATTCGCCACCTTTTGATTGCAAAGGCCGATTTGATTTATCCTTGAAAATTGATTCCAATCATCATTAAAAGTTCATCAACCACTCGTGCGCTAATCAAAATAAGGATAATTTGCTTCTCGTTGGAATTTACATTTCCTCATATGACCTGGCGATGGCATATTGAATCCTCCAATACGGCTCGCATAAGAGTGGCTTAATGGGAATTCACCGACGAAATAGCACGTTGATAGCTTACATGCAAGCAAATAGGTGAACCGAGGCTCTCGAGGGGGTGATCACAGGAGACGATTTTCTGCTGCTGTATGCGCTCGCTCAGGAGGTCAGCACTGGCGGCGGACCGTGCCTCGCGCACCGGTGGCGCTGACTCGTAGGCGGTCTCGATATCCGTCTCTGTGTTGCGTCGGCCTCGATGGAGGAAGGAACGTGCTGAGTTGCGTCCCATGCCGGTACTCGAACCTCCACTGCGTTTTCGATCAACGGCGGTCAGACGCAGTGGGTTAATAGCTGATTCGGGTGTGTAACAGGTTCCTCTCAGCTGACCGTCTGCACTAACCACCTGAAAGGCAAGCACCATGGCGTTCTAGACCTACTAAAATAGCGTCGCCACCTTTAAGCCACTAAAGTATTCAAACGGATCATTGTAATTGTCTAAACGAATAGGTCATAGTACGCCCCGTTTACATAAACCTCTCCGATTATGTGCAAGTGATAAGCAAGAATGGAAATGTTGTCACCATGATATCATGCAAGGACAGTAACGAATATACGCTTATTTATTACAAAAACTAACATTTTCTGTATGAATATTAATGCATTATATTAACATTGTAATTTATGACCAAAATATGTTTGTTGGCGCTGCTTAGGATTAGAATTTAGCTGAAATAAATAGTGAGTCTTGAAAACATCTAGTAAATTCATAATTTAGTTTGGAAGCTTCATAACTTATCGCAGCTAAAAATTGCAACAAAAAGTATAAGAAATGGTTCATGTTTGAACATACAAAGCATTACAGATGTTAGATAGACGCATGCTTACAGATGGAGTCGTAACAGGTTTGCCAAAAATCGGACACAATTACGCTGCAGACGGCACATGCAAAAGTCCTATTATAACTGCTGCAATAGAATTTCATAGTCTGCCAGTTTTTCAGGGTACTAATCCAGAGGCAAACAGCTCAGCTCTTCCTCGCGTGCGTAAGACTACACAATGCTGTGAGTTGATATTTTAGCTTTGTGAAGGGAGAGGGCTGACAAAATGAGGTCATTTACTAACTTCCGGCTCTCTAAAATCTCCGCAAATGCTGGCCTTAGTGTTTCAGCGACAAGTTGCCTGTCTCAAGAATACAAAAAAAGTCTAGTCTAATACTCCGTAATTCTCGGGTTATATTCGTATGAGAGAGATACATAGAGTTAGTTCAAAGTTTGCTTTGTGGGTAGAATAAAGCGAATTTCACTTAATTGCTTTTTGTTCTGCAACCTTGCCAGTTGCAACAGATTATCAAGCAAAATGATACCTAGACTTAAAAGCGCCTAGTGAGACTGAACTGGGGGACCCGCAACACACTTAAAGTTTCCACCGGCCTCCATTATCACTACTGTTGATGTGGGGAAAGATGCTGACAAAAAATGACCACGCACATCAGGGGTGACGGGAATTTGTAGGGGCGGTCCACCACCGGTGTTCTGAGTTCGGATGAGATCCAGCAGGTAGACCAGAAAGTCCCCGGCCTCGGTTTGAAGCGGTACACTTAGGTTGACCCAAATATTCTCCATGGGTGACGGTCCCAGGTTCGAGACAAGGAAGATCTGCTCAAATTCAGGTCCGATACTCTCTGGGTGCACGCGCTGACGCTCGGTAAATTGGGAGGAGAAGTTCCGCCGATCAAATACCGTGTGACCCACTGAGGATGAAGAGAGCTACAGAGCGAAGAAATGTACGGAAAACAACTTCAAATAGGCACACAGACCCAATTTTAATGCAATGACTTCAGAAAACTTCCTCAATATCGCTGTAAGAAATTCCAAGCGATGATACTTATGAAAAAATTAATTGAACTGCTGAAAATTTGACGAAGGAGATAATCATAGTGCCCTGTTCCAAAACTCCAAATATACGGGAGTGAATTGTGCTGTGACCTTTACATGCAAGTCATGAGGATGGATGCTCGCATTACTAAGGTTTACTCCAACTTAGGTCTACTTATTTGCCAGCTTTGTAGAAAATGCCCGCAGTCCAAAGAAAGCAGTGGAATCGCAAATTTCGTAATTTCCAAATCTAAAACCGTATGCCCATGCGCCTTCAAAAACTATCACTTTCAAATCATCCAGTGATCGTTGTTGCTTTTCAAATAAAGGAAGCCATAAACAGGCCACAAGAGATTGCGTTTGCCACCGCACGAGGGAAAGCTTGGGTGACTAGGAAAGTTGGGCCCAAAAATCCTTTTTAACAAAAATAACACTGCTCTTTGTAATCATACTAGAGTAGGATGATCGAGGATATGGCTATTTACTTTTACTAGCAAAACAAAACAAAAGTGTTCTATTCCCTGTTTAAACTGATAACGTGCTGTACCGCAGGATCAACCCACCTTGATATCAGCAAAGAGTTTAAGGTCGTATGCAAACTTGGCGACCACTTTGCGATTGCGCATATTCTCATTGTCGCTGGTCACTTCAGCAACAATTTCCAGCCGCCTGGGAGGCTGCCAAACGGGGGTAATGACCCCAGCATCGTTGGCATTCCCACTGGTCTGTGAGCCGTTTAGTGCTTCAAGAGACCGGGTTCGGGCTCCGCCAGGCGGAGGTTGAAAGGCACCTAAAGTGCCCAACTGGAAGCGGATCTTTTCCCATTGTGAATAAGTGGTGATGAAAGGGTTGGTGAGGCTGCAAACCACCGTGGTTATCTATGTAGAGACAGGCAAAGAGGTATGAAAATTATTGTTTAGTTTATTTGCCATGAACAACTTTGTTCACTTAAAGGTATTTCATATCAAAACACACGAACTGATCATTAGCAGCGTTAATTACTCAATCCTTAACCTGTGGATATGAATCCTCATCAAGATCTTTTCTTCTCGAGATTAACAGGCTAAAACTGGCCAAAATGTGCAAAATTGGGGTAATAATACAGGGAAAATTCCTGCTGTCAAATAGGGCGAGCCTGAAGTTTTTCAAGTGGCATCTCACGAGGATCGTTTTTTTTTTGAAGTCAGTGAAGACACCAATATGGTCAAAATTTGGGGGAAGTGATTCAATTAGCCCGTGTGCCTGCAAGGCGGTGCTAGAGTAGTTACCCACAGCAGAGGAAATAAATTCAGCAAAAATGGTGGAAGTAATAACCCCAAGTGGCGTTAAAACAGAAGAGAAACAAGTTTCACCGTGCACTTTCTGATAACCACAAGGCAAGGGTGCGCTCAATGGACAGTTTTAACTGCATATTGCTTGTGTAACAGGAAATGTGATGCAATATTCAGCCGTGTCACCTAATCATTTAAAAGACTGCCTTAGCCTTCGTTTTGTGATTTCAGTTCTGTCAAAGTGGGACGTGTGGAATTGTTTTTGCAAATAATTATGGTCAGAAAATTAACTGTTTGAGAAAGGCTTGGCATTGGTTAACCCATACCAAAAGAACATTCGCTTTTCCAATAAACAGAGATTTGGTAAATTTCTGTCTGATAAAAACCAATCTGAGGTTTATTTTAACTTTCGCATTTGCACAGTGGCTTTTTTGAAATTTAGGCAAATTTCCGTGTCTTTATTATATTTAGTTTGTGCTGCAATGGGGAATTAAAAGTATCGAGAAAAGAGTTTAACCATGACGTTTTCTCATTAAAGTCAATCTCTCCCGCGCTCCGAGACTTCTCTAAAGACGAATGAAGATATAGTACTCGGACAGAAAATGTACTGTTGGCCAAAGGTAGGGCTTGGGGCTACTGGCATAACCAGGAGGCCAGACCGTCCGGCGATGGTACAATGACAGAGCCCCTAAATAGTTAAGTATTACAATCTTAATACTTAAAGTGCCGTCAGAATTGTCGTTTTGTTGCACACCAAGAAGGTCAAATGACCCTGGGGATTGCTTTAATATTTCCCAAATGCTACACCACGCGGATGCACTTAAAACTCCTCAGCGGAACAGACTGACCCACTTGGGATAAATTATGAAGCACTGGCACAGAAGTAGACCGTGGAGGCCCACATTGAGGCGTAAATGAGCTGCAATTTGCAATGCTTGGGGTGAATCACTTGGGCAATTTCATTAATCATGCGCCTACAATTTTGCAGACTGGAGCCTAATTACTAAATAATGGCACGCCACTACATTTCCTCGCGAATGAGATGATTTATGCGCATACTACATTACAAAATGAGCAGAGCATGGAGCACTTTGTACAGAACAGCGGCTGCATTTGTGTACACACTCTCCAAATGGTATTACTACTCAATGGAGAAACGTGAAATGACAAATGGGCTTGAAACTGTACTCCGGAGAGAAAAAAATCCCCATTCAGTAGTCCAAAACATAAAGGGCATTATCCGCTGCCAAAAAAAAACGATGATTTGAGTCACAGACGTAACTAACTCAATCCGCTGTTCCGAGTTCAAAGGAGAATTTAAGTCGAAGTTCCTGCACCTGTAAAGTTTATTTAACCATCCCACTATTAAATAGAGTTTTACTAAATTGTTATACCTGGAGAGCAACGCTTGTATTGGCAAAAAGTTAGTATATTTTTAAAAGCACTAGTGATACCGATCGGTTTCTGGAACGCTCAGCCTGATCGAAGCCTTAGAAGTGTAGGTAGGTGGACGGTCGAATGCATCGACTAGAGCGCCCATTAATGCACGCAAGAGGTGGGCGAAAAGGTGCGCTTTTTCCGCCCATTCCAACTTTGGATGACCTTATTATCTGCTTATCTTGAATATGGGTACATATGTCCCTTTTTTACTTGCTACATTTGCATAATTCAACTTTTTTAATTAGTTATTTTTAAGTGAACTCAACCATACAATCTTGTAAACTACTCCTGTCGTAATAATAACGCATGACTGTATTATTCATCACTGCTATGGGAACTGAAACAAAACAGTGGCAGATCATGAGCACACGTTGAACCCTTTTTACCTATTTCGACAAGTAAAGCGGTGTATTTCACTCAAGACTTCACTACGGGGTACCAAGTGGGATATTTTTTCTCAATGTGAAGCCGCTGATTAATCAACTGCAAGAACTTTCTGATGCTATTTGACTGAAGCCCTTAGTTGAAGAGGACGCTACGTCTAGGGGACAAAAAGTTCTTGGTTGTATTCTATCTTACCTAAAAGGGCAAACTACATAAAACAAGGTATTTTTCCGTGAATTTTGTCACAAAAATCCATCAAACTATGGAATCCTGGAGACCAGCAGATAGACACATTAGCATAGAACTGCTCAATAAACTTGATTGGCAAATTTTATACAATCGTTTTTTTAAAGCAACTTGAAATAAATTATTAGTCGAACATTTTTAATGTGCTGCATTTAAGGGTTCTCCTACGACTCACTGGAATTCTTGACTTGTTGACTTCCATCCCTGCATCATCTCCATCCACTGTGATGTCGTCATCACTCTTCCCTACCACATCTTCCTCCTCCATCTCAATCGGTTCAGATTCGATCTTGCAGGCGTAGTTTTTGTCCGGTGTGTAGGCAAAATGAGCGGGTATGTGGACACGCACCTTCGTGTCGTAGGCATTTTCGCCCTGGTTCCTTACCGCCACTGTGAAGTTGCGCTCAGTGACCCTCTCTTTGTAGTGAATTGTTGACGGACCCTCTCCACCGAATTCGAAGCCCTCTGAGGTGTCGTATACCTCGACATTCAAGTCTGGTACACAGATATCGTCATAGCCGCAGTCTGGGTTGGAGAAATACATGGGTTGGCTGAGAAAAATACGATCCCCTTTTAGAGGATGAAGACTCCAGGCGGGTATTTGGGCACCTTTAGTCGCGACAAAGTCCATGTGTTCGGAAAGCATTTCGATGGTCACATTAATGACCACTGGTTTCCACAGTTGCTGTACTGTCTGGTGCCAACGTGGTCCGACGGTCATTTCAAACAATTGAAATCGACGAAACCCTACTGAGTATCCTTTCAAGCTAGAAAGTTGGATCTCTGCCGTGTCTTCTACGATGGATTTGCCAAGTTGTACGGATTCCAGGCGCTTGCCGTTCTCCTGTTTTATTCGACTGTCCAAATCAATGCGATAGCGGAACAGAAGGGACACGGAGCGTTTAGAGGAGAAGAGGGTCTCTCGAGCGTGCAGACTGAGGTTGAGAGCAACGCGGTAATGGCAGCGGGAAGATTCGCAGGGGTCATTATGTGGACTTGACCAATCAAGTGTGGGTCCCTCTGGAAGCCTCCATAGTGGCTGTTCCAGCCACACCAGGTTCCTAGATCGGAGCGTCACAATCTGGAATATAATCAAGGCCTTGATTTTAGGTGACCAAATCGGGAAGTTAATGTGCAATCATCAAAATACCGTTCAATCGTCAGTTAAGTGTTAGGAAGATTTTGGAAGTAAATTATCCTGACCTGTTCGCTTTCGTAGTCCCCAACAACTAAATCGGGGGACATGTTCCCGTCGACATCTGACTTTGACGCCATGCTCCAGCCGAAAGCCGAAAACGGTCGTTTTAGGGGTGATGTATCGTCAATTGCGTTTTCACAGGCAAAAACACCTTTTGTGGGTAGATCAGCAGGATGGATTACCTGAAATCCATAAAATCATTTCAGCTCCAAATCTTTGTAACAACACACCAGTCCAAGAATTTCCAAAGGTGGAAAAGTAAAAGTATCATCATAGCCTTCTCGCCAAAAAATGAAAAACGATTTTGATTAGTTAAACCACCCTCAAAATTTAATAAAAAATAGACATTGACTGATTAGTAAGTCTATTAAAACTATGGGTTCAGCAAGGGTGTTGACAGAATTTCGAGTGTCGCAAAATTGTTTTGCACCTACTTTCAAAGATGTGCAAACTGGAATCCCGACACTCAATGGCAGCCAACACCCATGTTGTTCACAACCACGAACTAGATGGTTGGCCAAGAGCATGAAAGCCGGATCCTTTACTAACAGGTGAGTAAGGCTGAGCACGGTCGTTAGAAAAGTGGGCTAGGCATGTCATATTGCGAAGGTATGTTTCAGTTAAAGGGAGGAAGATTATCCAAGACACGATTAGCAAAGAGTTGGATCCCTTATTGACAAGTGTATCAAAACAGGAACTCGTTTATAGATCTGTATATCCAGCCTACCTGGTCTGGTTCATCCTTGATCTTCGCATTCTTTCGCCCGAGATAAACATAAACAGCACCCCTATCGACCGATTTGCGGATGTCCTGACAAAAGGGGCAAGAGATAGCCAAATCCTCAGTGCCATCACCGTCTAGATCTCCCATTGAGAGAACTACATGACCAAATCGACCACCAGAACGTCGAGGTCCCTTTAAGATCACCGGTGGCTCATGCATATACTCCCCGCGGCCACGCTGACCCGGATCACTCTCGCTCTCTATGTATCCCGCACCCTTGATCCCCTCTGGTGATTTGCCATAGAAGACATACACGCGACCCACATCGGCAATTATCGGTCGATAGCGGCTTTCCGGGTCATCACCTTCATCTGAATGCTTTGGCTGGTCCGCCTGCATGTCTGGTGAGGTTTCAGCACCTTCCTGCGACTTTGTAAACCTCTGATTTTCAGAGAAGTAGGGAGATCCTACGATGATTTCTGGGATTTCGTCACCGTTTAAATCAGCGGCTGCAATGCTATGAAAGCAAGTATTAAGTAAATGCACTGTTCTAAGTGTGTAGTAAAAGAGGCTTACCTATATCCGAAGAAACTGCCAATGTGGCCCCATTTATCGCTAATATACTGGATCTAAAATCAGATTTAATTTTTGAGTTATCCATATATTTACATTGGGATACATTATATAATGCTTAGGACACAAGTTTAGCCCCAAACAAAATTCCCTAGATTGAGTGTCATCGGAAATTTCTACCCATATGTGCTGAATATTTAACAGAGATTAATTAAAGTTCCAACTTATTTTTCGCAATTATGGTATAATTACAGACTTGCATCGGAGCCGCCTTAAGGTTCAGGTTTATTCGGTATTTTGTTAGCATTTCGGCTCAGGTTATTGAGTTGGAGGCCTTAGGAGCCTCATCGCGACGTCTGCTTATTGACTCCATCATTCTCTTGAAATTACTGCTCATTGGTTCTTTCTCCGTTAACCAGGCGTTAAAACATAATACAATCTAATCGACAAGCGGAAATTTTAGCATAATGATGGATTTCCAAGTCAGAACAGGGCTCCCATTATCAGCAATTTAATGAATCGGGATTAGATAGGCCAAAAGCGCAATAGCAGCTAGACAATCATCCAGGGAAATTCGCCTACCGAGTCTAGATTGAGGGCCTCGGTCAGAAGCATGACCACACCACGATAGTCATTGTCCGCCCACATGGGACTTGAGGCAAGAATGGTGAATCGGCTGTGTGAGGGAGATGACTCTTGATTTTCCCATTGCGGATGCTTGTACAGGCCAACCGCGTAGCCCAGGTTGAAGCCCTTGTGTTTAAGGTCCTGTGGTGTACTCTTCAACCGCAGTTGCTTCAGAACCCGCTGACCTTGGTAGTGCCCGAAGAAGACGTTCCCTTCGGTAAGGTAGGAGCCGGGCATTCCAAGAACTGCGTAAGCTTCTCCTGGTTCATCGCCTAAATTTGCGAGGAAATGGCAATTCGATTTTGTAATGAGCCACTTTCCATGGGCATTTTCATCAACTTCAAAAAAAAGGTGTTCTGTTGTTTCAAACGAAAAAGATTGTAGTTGTCTTTTCTCTGCCTTCAAGAAAAGCGATTTAGAAATGTTCATCTTTAGAAACTAGTTGATAAAGTTGGCGAAGGGCGATTTAAGGAGAAAAAGTGGTTTACATATTTGCGCAATGTATTTACGCAAAAATAAGCGAAATTTAAAAATTTTCGTTGTTCTGGAGCTAGACGCATTTGCGAGAGCCGTTCCAGTAGTTCTTCCATCAGAGAGTCGAACATAACTCACATATTTTCTTTAACACGACCAAATCAGCTTTTTTCGAAACACACATGAACGTCTCACGTATACATATTTCCTCAAGTACTTGCCAATTTTGGCCAAACAATTAGACGTCAAACAGGAACACATTGGTCTGAGGCATTCTGGTTGGAAGGCACGTAATTGTAGGGTAAGACAAGCCAACGGTGGCATTTAGTGTTTTTTCTAAACTTTTAAACTGGTTTTTACGACATCTAATTTGATGCGAAAGTGGCTATGATAGCATGCACTAAATCCTGCCTAAATGTTATTTTACCCAAGTTCAAAGAATCCATACACGGAGTCGTGAAGTCAACCATGGGAATAATCATATGGTTTATAAACACATTGTAATTGTTACAAAAGGTTTATTTATGTATCATGGGAATTTGGTGCGTATGTCAAGCGCTGGGAATGCACAAATTCCCACTAATGTCATCTTGTGTGTTTATAAAACAATCCCACCTTAGCATTGGACCGGCCGACTATTTTAATTAGTTCCGGTATATTTGGAGTCAACTGAAGGATGAGTGATGCAAGAGATCTGGCTTCGTTATTCACTTTATTATATTTAGAATAATGGTACCAGCAACGAGTCGGCATTTGTAGCCATCTTCACTCTACTAATATTTGGTTTCTAGTTCATAATAACGATGGACATCGACGGAGATCCTGTATCTTGTAAATGATTTACCACATTTTCAGTCTTTAAACTACTCGGGTTTATGTAATTAACATGAGATTAATGCGTGTACAGGGAATTTCCTGGCAAATTGACGACAGCATACATATTTCCCGCTCATCAGGAGGTCACATAGCTGACCTGATCCCGGGGCTACACAGAGGATGCACACACTCGTATGAATGGGAAAAGAGGTCAAGTCCCAATTTAATTAAAAATTATTGACGTCTGAACATCAGGAAGTGCGAGAACACCTATCCCCGGTTTGAGGATTTGTGGGCTCCTTTTGTAATATTTTGCACAAACTTTATGACAAGCACAAGAGAACTGCTGATGATGTCTGCATTCCCCTAAAACATCCCTGTTTCGAGCCACTGCAAGATTTCTATTTCGAGGCACTTCCTCAACATTTGCGATAGCCTCGACCACTTGCTCTCATTCATTCACTATGATCGGCCAAGACTACGCCCAGGCAAACTTTAAACGTGCTACTAATCACTCAAGGCCGCAGTCAAGCACAGTACTATAAATTATGCGCGGATAGGCCCGCCAGCCTTGGTAGTCAACCCACGGTCACGTACATGCACGTCACGACTTCAGCTTACTCATCCTCTCCTGCAAATAAAATGTCCGTTTTAAAGGCTTTGTCTCCCAATTCCTCAAATTGGGAGCGCGACCAGATCCAACCTCTCGCACATGACATTAGCTTGTAACAAGAACATGAACCAACGACTTTCTGATTCAATTGACTCTTCCGAAAGTACGTCGAATAATCGTCTTAAATTGTTCCATCATTCAAGGAAAACACCATTGGGATTGTTCGTGCCTCGTTATGATCCAATTGTTTTGGATAATAGCATCACAATTCATCATTGTTAGGAATAGAGGGTCCTTTCTAACGGGATGTACCTGTCTTTGAGGAACTCATTACCACAATCCAAGCTTTTAAACAATTTCTGTGTAATACGTTCTGCTGCCGCATATCGCACCTTCTCTAAACGTCCTACCATGAAGCGTAGACGAAGCATCATCTCGCAAAGTAGATAAGCTTGGGTAACACCAAAATCAACCGAAGTTTTATAATAAGGGGCTCAAAATTCAGGGAAAATAAAGACCACACCCATAAACTGACTCACGTATCTGCTTCCTCCGGGTGCAAATAAACAGTCGCATTTTACAGGCCTCTAAATGTTACCGGAGGACAAGGCAGAGGGCAATGTTAAAAACTCGCAAGATCGTTTTTTTACCCATCTGACAGTAACGGATAGCGGGTCTAAGTTGCGCGTTTAGATGTAGTACTTCTTTGGTACATCAGCCACTGAAGTCCATAATGTTGGTCATCAAGTGACATGCTAGACACCAACCTTCGACAGTGGTGTGCTTTCAGACGAGCGCAAAATCGTACCTGTCACAGCATTCGTGCTGCTTCTACAGCAAGCGTTCCAAATACGTTGAAATGACCCATAAGCAAGTTGCACAAAGTTTTCTTTTTCCACTTTAAAATTCGAGAGAACCTACTGTCGGAAAATCCAGTTGCCTGGTCAAGTAATGAAAGGAGCAAATAAGCTAGCCTTGAGCGTGCGTGAATGGTTCAAAGTCGCTGCCTTCTTACGACAAAATATTCAGTGCTTCTATTCTGCATCCCATTACAAACTTTTTCAATGGGACACTTCGAGCTTCATACTTAGAATTCTGTGCACAAGCATGTCTTCGGGATAAGTCAGGCACCAAAAGAAAATACTTTCCCTCCCCCATCAAAAACTGGATTTTAGATAATTTAAAAAGAAAACAAACCAAACTGCAAGTTTAGTTTTTTACTAAGAAACTAAGAAAGTAGTTTTTATACTCAAAATAACAGGAATACCTACCAACCGATTTTATTGGCCTATTGACCAAATGGTACAACGGAAGAAGAACACAGTCTACCATGATACAATCTCAGTACTCGTACTAACAACTTAAAAATATTTACGATATTCTGCAACTTAAAACGCTTTTAATGTTCACCTACGCGCTAGAATGGGAGGTCTTTAGTTTACTATTCCTCAACGCAAGGAAGAGAATTGTTTACCTGACTCGAGAACACCGCTAAAACCAGATAGACAAGCGCCTTCCTCAGCGCTGACGCAGGCATCAATGGGAGTGTACTGCATGGAGACTCCGGTGTAGAGGGCGCAGGTGCCCGTGCCCAGGTTTTGTACCTCCAAACCAGGCAAAGAGGCTGAGGTGCTGGAGGTTTTGGAAGAGGGGCTGAGAGCGGAGGGGGTGTAGAGGTAACGCGGGTCACAGCCGAGTTGGAGTCCGTCTCCGCCGTTGCTGGCGGCTGCCACCAAACCGCCGATCCATAAGGAGACTGCAAATATAAACAACCGCTAACATTCGCTCTGGTTTGGTAGAGAGTTCCGTAAACTGCCCTACTGAAATAAGTGGCTTTAGATGCCATTGATCTCATGGTAATTCATCACATCACAAGGCGGTGGAAGCGGAGCATCGGCAATCTGTTCGCATTTATTGAAATAAGTTACCTTGAATATTTGTTGTTTTCTAAGGAAGCCCATCAGAGTGATTTCTTAATGCAAGAAAAACAAAGGAAAATGGTGTGCTTCACGAGCAAACCGTATTTATAAGCTATTTGCATGGCTCTAGGCACAAATAGTCACCAAATAGGGATTAAAAAGATCATTGTTGAAACAAGTGGCTTCGGAAATGAAGCGATTTGGGACGATTATTCATCCACGCATTGAATTTGAAAGTTTCGAAAAGGTTTTTGTGCTAATGCTACACAAAACTTAAGGGAGAATAACAACACTTAATATTCTTGGATTTAAATAAAACGGGTACATTTAAACTCAGGGCAAAACTGCTGCCAAAATTGTACACTAAATGCTTGGATGCCTTGATGAATACTAGAGTAGCTTTATAGCAGTTTACGCAGAAGAAAATATTTTGGAAGTAAATGGCTAAATAGGATGTTTTCTTTACAGTTCCAGTAATGTCGAATTAAATAAAATGCCGAATGATCATTTGAAGTGTCAAGATTTTCTAGGTGTCTTAGCACCAACACCTACCACTTAGGGTGCCTAGTCTGCAGTCAGTTCGGCCAGACGAATGCTGGGGTAGTAGTCACCTCGCAAAGGTACAGGTCAGGAGAGGTTAGCGATTAAGTCATTTTATGCTTTTATACTGCACTAAAAGGAATGTTAGCTTCCAAAAAACACTCCGGAACAACAACGTAGATGAGGGGATGCCCTGCAGATGGGCAATTGCGGAGGAGTGAATCGCATCGTGATCAAACACCACGAGGTGTTATTTTTATGGCAAGCCACACTCCCAGTGGAAAACTTGTAAGAAAGGGCTTTGTCACTATACTATCGCAAAACCCAACTGCAGTGTCGCTTGACAAACCAAGCTGAATAAAGGTTGTTCATGTCGCCTTTTTTTCCTAGAGAGAAAAGGTGAAAAAAACTAAATATAGCTAGCCTCTCACGTCAGCTCGAAAGGATGCTTTCTCTGTGACATTCGGAGTCGGTGTGTAAATGAAGGAAGTCTGGGTACGCCAGAATGTGGTCAAATTAAAATTTTTTCGCCTTTAATAGCCCAATCCTGGGAAAGACGAATGCGTTCTGCTAGGCGAGCTACACGGAAATAAGTAATCTGCCCAAACTTCTGGCAGAAGGTGGCGCGCATTTACATAATTATTACACAAACCAAAGATGTTCATATGTTAATTATTAGTCCAAACCTTTGAGTGATGTACCTTGATTGTGAGAATTGTTCAAAATTTTTTGACATATTATCCAATTTCATTAAAAAAATATGGAAGGACTACAAATTGGCCTACATTTTCGACGGTGAGGTAGTTTATGATTGGATCAATCATTCATAAAAGGCTTTTCAGTACACGTCGATTGAAAGCGTAGCGTTCTCTGAAGTCCCAAACAAAGGGTCTTTCATTGTTAGGTCGTGTCAAACAACGACCGCTACAATAGTGACACTATCAGCATTATTTATGGAAAGCTTACTCCCTGTTCTGTTGTAAAATCTTTTTTTCCGTGTTTCCATCGTTGGATGTTGTTTATTTGGCTTGGTACTTGATGAAATACAAATAACAATTCCGCCTCCACTAGATACGCATGCAATGTTTTACCCAGCGTTAAATCACAAGGCTTTTACCGCTTTGATTTAGTGCTGCTCCGTCTACAACCGAAAAATAACATGTGCTAATGTCACTTGTCTGGCCTCGGAAAAAAAATGGACTTTAGGCAACCTACCAAAAAGTAAATGCACGTCACGAGGCTGTCTTCTTACTTCGGCCGTTCCGAGGGGAAAATTAAAGAAAATGCATTCACCGCACCCATGTGCCATTTGACGATTGGATGTCCTTCAGACAGCCCCGAGGTGACCTAGCCGGAATGACCTTATCGCTTAAACCTCTCAACAGCCGTTTATAACGTCAAAAGTGCCACCGCAAAAAAATTATTTGCGTAAATTTTGAATGGTCAGAAGCCTCTAAATTTGCGGGAACGAGTAACATCCACCGACTGGGTTATTTATTTGCAGGACACTTTAGGAAATGATTATCAACAATACTTTATGATGTATTTACAGGGTTGTGGCATCTTTTCAAAGTCTTTCTCTACGTTAAAAACCCGTGAACTAGTGAGAGAATTGTGCAATGCGGAACTCTATTTTCCACGATTGAAAATCCACTAAACTCACTTCCAGGTTCCAACGCCCCAAACAGTCGTCTATCTTCATTATTGTCCGCAATTGGCATTCTACTGCAATCGGGGTATTCCATATCCAAATTCAATCGGTAAATTAATCCCGTGGTGTTGCCGAACATTGAGGTGAGGGTATCCTGCTGACGAAGTGTGTCGGCAGGATCAGGACTTAGGAAGTCGTACGTATTTCGTGCTTTCGGTGCACCTACCAGACAAAACGCCTGGGACTGGGCCACATAACTGGCCACTGAGTAGCCAAAGTTTGTTCCTCGCTTCTCGGTTGAGTAGATTCGAGCACCGAGAGAGGGAAAGAGCCAATCATTATTGCATTTTGGCCCTATGTCCACCGCCAAGGTGATGAGTGGTGGGAGAAAGGCGGAAAGGAAGAAGAGGAAGAGGTGGACATGGAAAGGCAATGCAAGATGTAACTGTTGCATCTCTCTGTGGCAAGTCAGAGCTGTGGTCTCATGGTCGTAGGGGGGGGGAGGAAGAAGGACCGCACAACCACAAATACCCACACGCACACGTGGGGAATGATTGCGCTGCCCTGTGTGGTGCGAGCGAGCACACGTTCCTTCTCCTGATGTAATGACCTACCAGTCGCATGATTGGTTAGCACGTCGATTGGCGAGATATGATTGGTCCATCGGGCTGCGTCATCCCTCTGGTTGTGCTAGCCTAGGTGATCAAATCGAGAGGCAAATGTGCGCATTTCTGTGAGGCTGACGTGTCGGACGGCAGTGCGTCTATGCGCCCTTATGTTTGTGCCGAGGAAAAGGAGAAAACTAACCACAGGCACCCGTCCATGTGCTAGTGGAGTGAAAGGAAGAAAATTAGCCTCTCTTGTGTGGATGTGCCTCTTTGGGGTAAGGCGGGGAGCCAACACAGCGCTTTCTCCTCAGTGCGACAGCTTTACAACCTGACAATCGACTCCCAAAATATTTGGAACGTTGGAGTATTCATAAGAATGTTCTGGAGAAAACTTAAATTTTCATAAATGACTTTTACTATTCGGAATTGGAAGAAATCGGTTTCACAGAAGGGTAAACGCATCTGTCGACGAGTATCAGCATCCTCGTCTTAAAAGTTACAATAATCGACGGCACAAAGACTATTTCCCTAATATGACACTTGATGGGCGCCGCAATTTTTTAGGAAGAAAAAAAGACATAAGGTAATGGAGTTAAAATGCAATCTTTGAACTTTGGGATCCAGTAAACAAATTCGGTTACAAGCGTATTATTAGCTTCCTGGTTAAGGTGCTAATGTGGTTCTGAAATGGTTTGAAGAGCACAAATCAAGCAATAAAATTTAAGGGGAGGTTTTTATGGGAATCTCAGAGGAACTATTTCTCATTGTGACAAAAATAACGCCTTAGAAATGAACAATTCTAGATCGAAAATACTTAAAAACTGCTACCGTGGTTTCTAATTATCAGAAAAGTTTAATAATGGATTTTTGTAACCTGCAGTACTCTCAAAATAAAGTCTCTAAGGTATTGCAAGGTTAATCTTGTCTTTATTTTTTCCCTAACTTTATACTTTTGCATGACAAAATAAGTCTATTTGGAAGAGGCCTTTTGGAAATTGGTCTCTGTGGTACGAAGCAAAGTCTCTTCGGTGTAATTTACAGCCTAAGGCTATACCGAAATAGCGGTACACATGACTCACAAACCGACCCACCTACTATTCACCAGTAGAACCGCAAAAAAATACATCCTCCAACTTTCGTCAAACGCTCTGGCGATGTTTGCTGTTCACCTGGCTAACTTCATCGAACCAAAGAAGTTTTTTTAAAACTATGAAGAAAATCCAGTTTTATTTAAAAAAGATGATTGCGAGAATGTTCTTTCCTTTTATGAAGAGATTTTCCTGACAGGATCACTGTGAAAAGTGGATGGAAAGCGGAGGCTGCAAGCATTGAAGTGAGATTTGGGTACTTCTCGTTCATGAGAGTTTTTTCCTTCAAAGTGTCCACTGGAAATACACTGTAACTTGTTTATTTACATATTCTAATTCTACATGGTCTCTATTCTAGGGCATAGCTATTTTATAGTGTACACGATAATTTATAAGATAGGAGGAACTTATTTGTATTTCCGAAGATCATGATTTGAAAGCCTAGACATCTGTTTCTCCCCATTTTTGATACGGCTTTCCCATTCAGTGAAGGTTTTATTCTAATACCATTAATTTGGATTTTCTTTTTAAGTGGCATATCTTCTCTAATCTGGAGTAGCATTCGAATAGAGTAAAATTGTCTGCTTAAAAGTGATATGCAAGTGATAAAGTTACTCACAAAAAGAATATAAACCAAAATTGTATATCGTTACAATAACAGGGTTAAAGCAAGTGATGTTGATTACTATTACTTCATAAAATAACTTACTCCACTGCAAGATTTTTTAAAAGATGATCAAACCCAATGGTGCCTTCGGGGGGACGATTAGCCATCTTCACAATGATCGCAAGTTGAATTGAAATACAGTGGCCCTCTCCACCCCCAACCTTAGCCCATATGGCAAGTTTCCACTTCATGCCTCATGGTTAAGGCGATTAAACAATTGGGCGGAGTGATAATTGTGTGGCCTACTAGCCACCCTTAAAGAGATTATGGGGCCAAGGAGGCTGAAAATAACACCGCTCTGAAAGTTTAATACTAAAGGCTTGAATCGGCTTGCACAACCGTGTATTCAAATCAGTGGCTTTTAGTTGTGTCCGTTGACTGGGATTACAACCAAACTTTCGAGTAGGTTATTGCTACAATCTTTACAACAGTTTGTGTTATAACTTACCAAAGCATATGACGTGAGTATTAAAGGGTGTTGTGTTAGCATTTTGAATAAGCCAAGCTTTTGACCACCGAGTTTTTCCAAACAGCCAAAAATATCAGCTTTATAACCATGTAAATTGGAAAATGCATTGCTGCACCCTCTTGTATAGGGTAACCAAATAACTCTGGATGGATTTTATAATGATGAATAACTAATTGCAGGAGGTTTCTTAAAATACCAAATCTATGCATTGACTTAATTACCATGACAATGTATAACCCTTTCCCAATGACGCTTGCTGCACATTCCACTTTTATGCGATCTTTGTGCCTGATAGAAGAATCTTATCCCTGACCAGCCCCAATTCTATTTCTTTCTTCTTTTCTAACTCTCCCATTTATACGTGATTGTCTTCATGCTAAGAAAAGGCGGTACTCGTCACTTGTAGAAGTATCATCAATGAAATGCGGAAGATAGGGAGGGAACAATATCTCGCCTCTTACATCCTAAAGCCCTAAAAGTAGACGAGAAAATTCCTACTACTTCGTGAATTTTATTGGTGACGGTGTTTTATAAATCCAAATTGGAGGGCTGCATGGGAAAATTAGTGCCTTTGATCATCTCTTCGCAAAAAATTCCAAGCAGCATCGACCTTAGTAAGTTGATGTTATCGCTGTGTAACTAAAAGCAAAAAAAGAATCAGTCCATCAATTATTTGTGCTTGCTTAGAATGTATGCTTTAGTTTTGACATAATTACGTAATGGTCAAACGTCTTCTTTAAATGGTTCGTAGATTTTTTGAGGACAACTGAATGTGCTTTCGAGGTCGTTCAAATCTACCTTCGGTAGTTACAAGGTAGGCGGGATTGAAAGAGAGGTCCCGGGAATTTATTCCCATTTTCGCCAGTACACCAGGCGGGGCGAAAATCGTCTACTCTGGTCTGAACGTGGGTATATCTCATCCAACTTTTCACATACCAAATCTGCTGGCACATTGTTATTGTGGCCGCTACTTAGCAGCCGGCGAAAAGCCATCTGCTATACCTGCGCATTTCTGTACCTATAATGAATCATTTCACTGTAGATAAATCTTTTGTTAAATGTTAAGGAGATAGACTTTATCTCAGTTCTTATTTGAAATAATCAGGCTAAAGCAAGTCTCTTTTATGCAGAGCCGCAACCTAAATACCTCATACAATTGAATTTTAATCGAGTTCTTGATAAATTTTAGAATGAATACTGGGCTCCGTGATCATCAAATAACAGAATGTTGTTCCGTCTCCTCAACGATAGTTAATAGACAAACCTGTATTCGGCACGGAATGCTGTAATAAAGACGATTTTGAAACAAATGCTATCGGTGTAAAAAAGGATAGCACACGGGAAAATTTATTGCCACAGAAGGTGAGATTGAAGAGGTTGTGGAAATAACATGAGTTTAGAAGTGTTCCGGAATTGAAAAGTTAGAGTAGATTCCTGTTACTTATGGTGACCGTTTATGACACGGGAAATAAGGGCATCATGTCGCCCGAATTTCGTTTTTTTCCAGAAGTGCGCATTAAATTTTCGTCGGTCATTTCTATGATTGGTTTTTACGAGCCGGAAAATCTCAACTTTCAGCGTCACTTGTCTTGGGCTAGGAAGGCTTGAACGCCCATTCTCTAGTACAAGTATTGCATCATCTTCCTAAGGTAGTTAACATACCCTACTCAGTTTCATTTTGATTCACCAGAGTGGATTACTGAGACTTTTGTAAAATGACATCACGGTATTTGGAGTTTAAATGGCATAGCAATTAAATCACATATCTTCGACAAGCGGCCAAATAAATAGCTCGGAAATAAACTAAAAGTACTTTTTTTAAGGTACATATGAGTGACTTTGTGCTTTTATTGGTTTCTGGATGAAATTTGTGCCATTTTTGAAGATAATGCGCACTACGACTCGAAGTTTGTATCTCTGATGTCCACAAGGCATCGTAGCAGGGATTACGCTTCCGCACCAAACACCAACTTTATGCGAAAATCCTTCTTCTCTCCATCAGAGGCCAGCCGTATGCTTAGAGTGTTTATAATAACTCACAGTGCAATTATTCTGCACACCGGACCCATGTTATGATGAAGTTTTCCTTGATGGTTACGCAGGGAATTCTTTGGTTTTACTCATACCACACCTCGGAAATTCTATAGCATTAAAGGCTACTTTAGCCGTTTGACCTAATCGACCCTAAAAAATTATTCATTTCCGCCATCTAAAAGTATGCAGGGGAACATATGTATCAGTTATTTTTTAACAATTTTTTGGGAGCAAGTGCTATAAGTGTTTTTTTTTTAACTCCATTTTTTGGTTGTGGGCTACGTAGGAAGTCCACCATTGTGTCAAGTCTGGGCGGTCTGGTCTCGAGGCTTTTCGAGTAGCCCCAAGGCCTTCTGTCTGTCAAATGTACATATTCTATCTGAGTAGTATGCCTTCTTTCGTCTTTAGGTAAGTCTTGGAGTGCTCGATTGATTTTATTAAATATGATAATAAGACCCCTTTCACATTCGGCAATTACACTAAGACAGGAATAATCTGTAAGTTATTTACGATCTTGTAAATCCGTAAGCACTTATCTGCACGGACCTGTACTAAACTAATACCTATTCTTTGTTATTAAATGGCTTCTTGGTGTCGGTGACAGGAAAACGGTATTTACTACACCTAATTTTTACGTCAATTCTCAACTCGTCACGTCTGCTCTGTGTTTATAAGTAAGAAGCATTTTAGAGCCTGAGACTTTCCTCTAACCGCTGATGCGCTAGATAGAAGTTGTGAACACCTTGCTGATAGAAATTCAACTGAGTTCTCCATCCATCTTGTTCTGTTTTAAATTTGATATGAAAAAAGGGATTTCAACACAAGTGTATCTAACAGCAACCTGAATGGCTTTACTTTGTCGAGTCGAATTTCAGTATGTTCGCGATTCCCCTTGGATACGCCAACTCCATTCATCAAGATGGCCTGTCAGTGAAATGGTAAGCAGTTGCCAAGCTTAGAACACGTCATCTTGATGTAAATCAGTGGTGTTACCTTATACTTCCTACACGCATAGAAAAACTCACGACTTTTTTGTGAGTTTCCCTGCCGCATGGATCCAGCTGGTGAATGTTCATAAATCACCTCAGGTGCATGTCTTCAGTCTCCACAGAGATTATTTTGCAAGTGTGTATTCAATCTTAATTGCAAAGCCTTGCTACTGCCCTGGGTCGTAAAATGTGACATTAATGCCCAGAAAAATAAACAACTTGAGACTGAATGAATAAAAGAATTTTCGCTTTACTTTGTGCTCCACAGCACTCCAAAATAACCACCTTTCTCACAATGTTAACATTACCGGTTCAGCCAACTTTTGAGAAGTGAAAGTCGATGTCCTACGGTTTAACATTTGTAGGTTTTGCGATTAATTAGCACATTTCCTTTCTACTTTAACTCAACATAAACCGGTGCTTGGTTCCTAATAGTTATGCCGATTTAAGGAATTTAATCAAACTAAGTTAGTATCCAACTGTCAATACAGATGAGATAAACGCTGTCGACAATACAAGACGTGCTTCAGGATGAGTTGAGACATTCTAAAACTGCATATTTCAAAGATTTATTCAGGTATCAACAGTAAAAAAGCTGCATAACAAATGATGAATACGTGAGGTAAGGAACGTTTTATAAAGAAAAGCTGTGGAGCTGAGATAGACCCTGAATGTCCCATTACACAGTCGTCAGAACTCTGTTACCGTTAATTTAAGATTCGTTTCTCAAATGGCGAACTTAATCAAAAGATTACTCAAAGGGCTTAAATTTACTTTATATCAGTATTATTTAGGAGCTGATTATAAAGTAGCACAAGGGAAAGTGGAACATTAACGCCTGTCTCTTCACTTACAAAGAAAAGTAAAAAAATTGCTTCGATCAACTGTGGAGTGAACATTAGTTGAAAGATTTAGTTAATTGGCATTTTCACAGTTTTCATTTGGCTAATTGCAGGCAAGAAAATTTCCAGTTGGGGGGCTTCTTGAAAGGGTTCGGTAACTATAATCGACAGATGGAAAGGTTAAATACAGACGCTCCTCAATAAAAGGAGATCATCTACTGAGGTGCAGCATAATATTTTTGTAATTCTCCTACAGGTACCTAGCCAATGTACGGAGTAAAATGCGAGTCCCACATCCCGTACAAAGGGTACTCTGTCAATTTTAGGCATGTGGTTTGTTAAGGCAACGTTATTGGCGAACAAACTGCATATTCTATGGTTAAAAGGGACAGCGGGGTCAAGGACGTAAATTAAAACAAGTAAAATCTAGTAGATATCTGAATGCCCATGAAAATAATCAGCAGAAGGGTCTAAGTGAAAAAAAATGTTTGGATCAGAGTGTATATCTCTCACCGCAAAAAGGCGGCATTTTGTACTAGCGTCACAGATGATAGTAATGATATCTTTGACTGCCGAGACTACCGTGACTTCCCTAATGCCGAAGGGGGACATAACACTCGGCAGAATACGTGTTGTCTACGTTAAAGTAAAGCTTGGGGCTACTGGCATGGTCTATAGGTCTGTCCACTGCTTGAGGGTTTAATGGCGTAGCACCTAAGCGGCCTCTTTACCAAACCAATGGATGGCGGAATGGTTCCTTACTTAAAATTACCTGTAAAAGTAAATGCACTAGTTTTTAAGAAACGCTTGTAGGAAACACATCATTAGGCATATTTGCTTGTGAACAAAGACTTCTCATGGATCACTCTTTCTATACCTTCCATTAAACTCTGCTAGGATTCTGCCAGACGACTTCAAACCTAAAATTCGTCGTTCATGGTAGTGCAGATGGAGGTAGTGCAGCTGACGCTGAGAAACATCCTTGACTAAGCATGAATATTAATGTTTCATTAATAAAAATAAGCCATCCACGGAAGTGAAATTGACAGTATTTGTGGAATATTTGTCAAAGTGTTGCCCTAATTTCAGTCGCTCAAAAAAGTGCCATTTTCATGGTAAGACGGTACGCGAGTGTGCTCTTACCAGGGGCCCTCTGATATTTTCCTCCTCTCCTCAGGGCACAAGCAGCATTGGAAGCCCTATTTTCACCTCAAGTTGACACGGTGAAGCATCGTCTGCTCAAGTGCAACTAGTCTCAAACTACTCAATCTGGATCCTTCTAGTTGGACAATTCACACAAAGGAATGCTCTGAATTCGGTATGTTACTCAAGCATCTACTCTGAATGCCCAGTTCTTATACAGAAAAGGCAAAGCGTAAACAATGCATCCAATAACGCCTTTACAGTTTAATTTAAATAAGAGATGTACCTAGTTGAATATTTGTAGAGGTAGACACCTCCAGGAAATCGCTATACATCATCCGAATTTTGGTTTATTCTGTTGATAATGTCCTTTATGGAAATGACTCCAGCCGATTTAAAGTTAGTCGATTTGTTCCTTATTTAAATAAATGGCCTTGAGCTCCGGAGTTGCGGTAGACACATTCAATTGACGCAGAAGTGCGGATGGTGAAGTGAAGTCGAATATCTGCCGTTGCATAAGGGCCAGAAGTAAATATTCCCTTGCCTCATAGCGAAACCCATTACAAGCGATGAATGGTAAGTTGGAAGATGCTTCTTTACTTAATCCAAAGCGGATGAATCGGAACCAGTCCTTTGTTCTGAAGATGGATGGATGAATGTCAACTAGTGAAGTCGAAACGATCCATTTACCCACAGATGCTCGACCGCGTGTAAAATAACAATGCGTCAAATTGATGGCGACCATCGTAAAGTGGTATCCGGTATAATTTGACATCCATCCGATTCCCTACACTGACTGACCTCAAGATGTCTTGACCAAACTTTATGACTTCAGCTGTCGCGTCAAAAAATAGTGACTTTTGCATAATACAGATGTTCGTTGTTGAAGAAAAGTTTGCATTTTAAATTAGAAGGTGCCTGAGGTTTACCATGAAGCAATTTCTTTTTATCCACATTTTAAAAACGTCTTTGAAACTCCAAATCTCATTAACCTATTTACCAACGGAAAATTTTCACAACACAGTTTGACATTCGTCAAATTACTAGTCACTATGTGGAGTAGTGCTTCCAGCAGCCTGGAAAAGAAGGCTGATTTAGTGCAAGTGATTTACTCTTTGGAAAACTCCAGCACCATAAATTTGTAAATTTGTCTTATGCAGGCAGACGGAATACGTCTAAATCGTAACCCAGATTCGCAACCTTGTTACATTTATATCACAGCAATTCTTGATAAACGGTCACATCAAATCGTGTTACAAACAGATTAGTTTATTTTAAAACACCAAATCGGAAATGCCTTTGACATAAAGATATCAAAGTTTTTTGGTGTATGAGCACCATAAATTTTTATAGAAGCTTACTTTTTGGTCTGAGGAGGGATCGTGGGAGAACAAGAATTTGTTCATTACATCTACTGACGCAAGTGTAGTAATAGAGAACTCTGCTAATGACAGTACCCCTTTAAAGAGCCCCTTAAAAGAAGGGCGAACTCAATGGGGCAATGCAGACGGCCAGCCGCACGATGTGTGACTCATTCGCCCCCCTGAACCCATCAAAGGTTGGCGTGCAATGTGCAGGCTGACCCCATGGGGTGAACCTGTAGCCGAGCGATTTCATGTTTTTGTAGCACTAGATTAGGCACTAAAACGCTAACCAGATTGGCCAGGCAACATCGAAGAGATGGGAGAATGCGTACAAATACAAGGGTCGGTTACCGCAGCCAGATACCACCCCTTGATTTTACATGAGAAATATTACCCCGTAAATGTTACAGCAATGAATCGCGAGACCTTTCTTTTATAAAAGAAGTTGTTTGTATCATCATAAAAGATAATGCTGTAACTTCAAGGAAACGGGCCCATTTGGCAAAAATACTTGAAATTTGAAGTTGAACTCGATGTGACAATAAATTACCTGCTTGTTCAACTCTGTTTTGGTAACGAGCCATTTACGGGTTCCGCCATTGTTGCCTCCGAGGGGCAGCTCAGCCTTGGAGCCATGCCAGTAGCCCCTCAGCCCTTCTGTACATCGACAATACATATTCTGCCTGAGTACTATGTCTTCTTTCGTCTTCAGGGAAGTCCCGATGCTCTACCTTGGTGGCAGCGGAATGCGAGCCCGATCCTAAAGGGCAACGTGATTGAAGAAGTACATATGCTTTGGGTAGGAGAATATGTGACGACTCTTGGCAGAAAGTCTCAAAATGACACCTATGACCTGCAAATATCCCAGTTCCTTGGTCCGTAGGAAGGCTGTTAACATCTGAAGCGGCACTAGCCGTGAATCATTTTGAAAGTTCTTTACAGGGCTGTCTACCATACCTGTATGCAACTAACAATGATGTGAACATGCAATTCCTCCTCCACCTCTCTACTAGCTGGATAGAGCCCAGAGAGAAATGGCTGGGCAGCACTGAAGTGGGAAGTGTACCTTGAGGAACAGGGGCGAGACCTTACCCCCACGGTACCATGTTAAAACTTGTCCTTCGTTATGTGACACTACTTTCAGGACAGTGATCCTACAAACAGCTGTTGACACGTGTGATGGCCAATGCATTCCCCCGTACCGAAATCCAATTCCCCTGCAGGAGGAAGCTCCAGATCTAGCAGAATTGGCAAGATAGATCAGTGACGAGGCGGTCATGTACCTCCTCAGTTGCATGGAAATTTGGTGACTGACATGATTGGCTCGTGGGTGTTCTGCCTTGCAGCACTGACTACGTTGTGATGGTCGACCATGGGGAGCCTCAGGCACGTCGCTCAAGGGATGGTAGGATCTATGTGATGGGTTAGTTGTTTAGCTCCCTGTTTTGGTAGAGGGTTTACTTAAGCGTTCCTCCATTGTATCGTCAGTGGGTGGGCTGGTCTCCGAGACATGCCAGCAGCCCGAGTGTTACGCCTTCTTGTGTCGTCAGGGCAGTCTTGGGGCACTACAGATATGAATACTACTGGGGAGAGATTTTTCCTTTAATAATAATTTATCTACATATAGAATTTTAATTTAAAAGCGCATTTGTTAGTAATTCAATAGGAGTTCATGTAAGTTGGCACGCAAGAAACGTCCTTAGAGCCATCATTAGGGCAGTGAGTTCTTAACTTCATATATAATTTATTTATTATATTAAGATACCTGAGTTTGACAAAGCTGGATATTGCATTTGTGAGCTTAAAATACGATTACAATCGGCAACTTTTTCTGCTAAACAAACACCATTAAGGTAGAAGCCTTTTCCATGAAGAAGTGGTAACAAACAGTTGGGCTAGTCTTCTGACAGAGGTTACATGACTTTAGGAATTGCGAGATTCTAGCTTTTTTATTGCGATAAATGCAGTACAGAAGCCATCAATGTAGCCCAAAAGCCCAGTGGCTAGCTTGGGAATGGCAAAGAAATACGGATGGAAAAAGTCACTGCAATAGTTCCTGCCGAAGGCTGCAAGTGATTCAACAGAATCGTTTACGGATGTATTAAATCATCCGGGGGACTGCTGACAAAGTGCTGGACTGCACATAAGCCAGAGTCGTTTTCCACTATTCTAAGGTGGAAAATGCTGCAAAATTGAGCATCATATTCTATGGCGGGTAGTTATCCCACCCGAGGTAAATCATATTCGTCATTAAACTTCTTCAAGTGGCAAGTCTATAAATATATACGCTAAAAATTTGAAAGCTAGTTATAAAAATGTGAGTTTTACTGGATGGCTTGGTTTCTCGAGGGCTCTATATGGACCACCGATCAGCAACAATAGCAATTTTAAATAGCTACTGACCTCACGTATTGAAGCATTGTAAAAGAGCCAAGCGAAAGTTTACTAGTTTACGAATGAAACATGCCGTTAACCTTTAAAAGATAATACTCTCAATTTGATTTCATGCTATTAAAATTTATTCTCCAAGATCTTGTTTACGAGTCACGTTTGGAAAATTACTGAATGAGACCTAGTAGCATATAGTATATACACAGCCACCCATTTGATGAAAATTTGTCCTTTTGCAATTTCCGTTACCCGTCCTTATCTCGTTAGAAAAACACCGATTTCGAATTTGAGCTGATAAGAAAATTGCCGTTCTCTGCAACAAGGCGGTCATCTCTGTGCTTTAATGGTTAGTTCTTCCCTATAAATGCGGCTTTTTGGATCCAGTATCCGCAGTAACAGTAACAGGTGTAGCACAAGCAATCTTGAAGGTAAAAATTTCTTCTGCGACGCATTTTGTGTACGTCTCCTCACAGGTGCACACTTTTTTGCAAACGCTTCGCTGGTGAATATCGTTACAGTTCTTTTGGATACGTAAAGATGAAAGGCTGGTAAAGCTAAAAAAGACAGAAAGGTAAGGCTGTGCTAGTTCAATATTTTGTATTAATTCTATACAGCTATAGTATTTTGTAGGTTCAATCACGGCATCGTTATTAAAAAAGTGTTCTTGTTTGTAAATTCTAGTTACTTTGGTAATGGTTCGCACTTGAAAATGCCGGCTGTCACAGACATCACCAATCTGTTATTCTTTTAGATGGTGAGATAATAAAGACATGAGGTTGATAAAATGGCACACTTTTAGCAAATAATAGAGAGAATATGCAAATGGGTTTCTTGTAAATAGATTAGCATTACTCCCTTTACGTCTGCCTTGTCCGTCATTTGTAGACAGCGTTTAATTTACGCCGTACGTGACTTCATACAAAACCATGTTTCGCATTTTAGTTAAAAACATTCGTAGGAAGCTACAATTTATGCAATCGCTTTTTTTGCTTTAAGGGAAGGGTAATCAGCACAAGGCAATGTTGTCTGGGAAAGGGTTCATGGAATGCATTGTTGATCTTGCAGTTTGATTAAGAATGCCGATTGCACCCTTGACAGGACTTGGAAACAATAACTGAACCAACGGCCAACTTAAGGTGAGATTAAATTAACTATCCATCTCAAACGAAGATGCTTTCGAGGATTACTGCTGCATACCTCTATTTACGCTACCAGAATATTGCCAAAGGTATGCAGTGCTTTATGTTTGTTTGACTGTTTGGTTTGGTCACGAGGATGCTAAAAGGCACGGCCATTGTACTTCCGCCCAGCGGCATGGCCTCCGTGCCATGCCGGTAGCCGCACAACCCTTCTGTACGTCGATAAAACATATTCTGCCCGAGTATCGTTGTCAGGGGAATCTCGAGCGCTACAAGCTGCTCTAGAGAATTGAAGAGCAGTAATATTGACAAAAATCATTTTTGCGTACCTTCTAAAAATCGTCGTGCACACTCTAAAAAGGTTACATTTCTGAAAAAGGTGTTAGACCTCCCCGGATTCCCACAATTGACCTAATTCTTCGCCTCTAATTTTTTTTTTGCGGTTTGCATTCACATACTTCGCGTACAGAGGCATTACTAGAACAAGGAAATTGCAATGTACTATTTGTCACATCCGGTCTATTTCCACTAAATGTATCATTTATTCGCTTACTAGATTTTTGAAAATTCAAAAATCTTTTCTCTTTAGTTTCTCAGGAATTATTTATAAAGTGTGAGTTTCAAAATCCGGTAGTCGTTTTATCCCTCGTACGGCTTTGGCAAGGTTTTAGTCGGAGTGCGCCAAAGATCCATGTCACGATTAGGAAAAAATTTGTGTTGATGTGTATTTAATCTTTGACAGGATTTTAGCTGTCGAACGAATTCGTCATTCGACATCCGTGGGAATTTGTGTTAGCAAAATGCCTAAATTTGCCCGGAAGGAATATGCGAATCGGATGCCCAGCCCCATCAACAACCAGCTTATGCCTGAGTTTCCTATGTGGTCATATAGTATCACGCTTAATTCCAAAGCTGACCATGCGGGCTTTTCAGCACCCATATGGTAGAGTTTCACCCGGCAGGACTCTCCGGCAATGCCTACAGCCCCCCAAGCCTTCTGAATGCGAATTATAGATCTACCTCCATACTAACATGGTTTGTTAAGACTTTAGGGAAGACCGTGGCTGTCTCATAGATCTATTTCGTACATGATGCTGTCGCTTCTGAAATAACTACTCGATAACTCTGAATGCCTAAGTGGCTACAAAAACAGCATGTCCATACGTCTACGTCTATTAATCACTATAAAATGAAGTGGTATATTAAGGTACGACTTTTAAGACATGGTCTTGATTGCAAATTATTTTTTTGTACAAACACACTGGTGTCCGCATTTTAACTTATCAATTATTGTAAAATATGCGTGCCAACGGAGGCAAAAAATGCACTGGACCACTGTATAAAAGTCCAGATGTCAGAAAAGCTCTCGTAAACAATTACGTTAGTGAGGGCTGGAATAAGTTTTCCTTTGTCAGGCATCAAATTTACGCAACAAGCTGAATAGGACAAATTACTACAAAAAAAGCCCTGGGGGTCCCGAAACAAATTGTAACGAATGGTATGTGCAAATTTTAGTGAGTAAAAACTTTCATTGTGTTGCTAAAACTGTTAAACACAAATGTTATTTATTTTCAAGGTTCCCACCATTTCATTGGCTTAATACCAATAACCGGTTTGCTAATTGTCGGTACACATGCCCACCGGATGAAGCTTTAGCTGATGTACTTTGTTTTATTTGCTTGGGTACATCTCCTTAAATCTCTTTTAACTAATATAGGAGTGCTTTATTTACCTAAACAATGCTTTCGCCACTTTTAATTAATCATTCAATTGACTATGCACCCAAATTTGGTTAAGTTGTCCCGCATTAGCTCACTGGGGTCAATATGGAAAAGTTGAACTTGTTGAAGTGTTTATGTGGACATCGCTTACTATCTCGAGCCATCTCGGTCTCATGCACAAACATTGATTTACCGGTCGTGTTATCATCCTCATCTTCTAACTGTGTGACTATCGCACTTTGGTATCATTTGTAGACTTTTCTGAAACCTACCAATGTCAGAAACTAAAAAGCTAGTCGATCTATCGAAGCTGCCCGAGAGGTAAGCTTCACACAGACTTAGAGATTATCTTTTCTAGAATCCTGTCAATTCTCGTTGCGCATTCCGATCCGGTGACCCAGAAGACCTTTGAAGAGGAGCTTCCCGATATAACACTTACTCAACTTCTCCCGGTTCTGAACCGGATGCAAAAGGAGGGCCAAGTGGAAGTCTTGGTTAATTCTAATCGAACTCTCTCCTGGCGTATGCGTGAAATTGGCAACATCGAGTAGGTTATCTCTTACATTAACCCCTGCTTTTAGTAAATTAAAGTCCCTCACAGATGTAGAAGAGAGTCTGGTATACAACTGCATCCGTAAAAACGGAAACGAGGGTGCGACGGTCAAGGCTATTTCAATTGATACCAAACTGCCTCAGAATCGCCTGCCTCGCATCTTAAAATCTTTGATAGGGCGTAAATTGGTCAAGGAACTACCTGTGTTGGCAGGGAGTAAGCAAAAGATCTTCCTTCTCTATGAGCTTGAACCGAGCGAGTCGTTGGCTGCTAACACCCTGTTTGCTGGTGAGACTGGAGTGGATGGCGAGTTTGTGGCAATGCTGCGGACGGCCTGCTTGAAGTACATTCAGGACAAGGTGAATCGTATTTCTAATCTGCACCATGACGATTATTTAAGCTGTTACTTTACCTATGTTTCATTTGCCCATATAATTTCAGTAGGGTGCATTTTGGAAGCCAGTGGCATTGACTAACATAAAGTATTGCATTTTATATGTTTAGACTGAATCGGTTTCGAAAATATCAGATCCTTTAAAAAGGTGGAACTCGTCGTATGCCTCCGTTGAAGAGTTTCATCGCTTTATCACCGATGCTAAACTCTGCACGGTTCGTTCATCATTTATGGTTTCTTACGTCTCTTCTACTTAACTTATATACCTAGGCAATGAATTAATAGGCTAGCCACGTGATATCATTGAGCAGTGAATTTGGTCATCTACCGGATTAGCTTTATCTCAACCAGTAGAAGGCGTACTCGTCCCGTAGCCTTAGTTTTTTGTCTAGATTCCTTCGTTGCTGGCAGATGTGGAATAATTCCTATACGGCCTTTCCTTCGAGGTATAATGGGAAAAGCTCCTGATTAAAATCTAGCCATTTAAAGGTAGTGTCCTGATGACGGTGCCGTTTTCCCACAGGTCCCCCTGGTTCCCTCAGATGTAAAGACGGTGCTTGACGCCCTGGTCTACGGCGGCGAGTTGGAGATGAAGCAGTCGACGACGGTAGACACAAGTGCTGTGGACGAGAAGGGCGAGAGTAAGCCGACCACAACTCGATCTTTCCTGTACCGCCTCGCTCCTCGAACTCCCGGCTTTGCTTTCCTCGCTCACATTCCATGCACCATTGCCCTCGTAAGTTTTCATTCCCACTCATTTTTGCTTCAATAAGTCGTTAACTGGTTGAACTATTTTGTGAATTCTAATTCCATAACTAATAACCAAGCCACGACCTCCCCTCATTTTTAAGTCTTCCTGAGGTTCTTACTCATCTTGTTTACATCGTTTTTACTGCATCCAGGTGAAAAACAGCTCAGATTTTATCGCCACTTGCATTTTGAGTTGTATCCCTTAATTGGCTGCTTAATTTTCATATTGCATGGGGTATAACTGGCGTTGGCAAGCTGTGCGCACTCGGGTCAATTCAAAGCTACCACGTACCAATCTTGTATTAACTCTCCCAAATCGGAAACTGCTCTTACCACGAAACTACCTTCCCAATCCTCACTTTTAGCATGTCTAAATTACACTTGCATTTATTCCTTCAAAATTTTTCGCCATTAAAAAATGAACACCGCTTGGAATCAGACTCGTGACTTATTTGGTTACTCGGCTGGGACTACCACCGAAAACTGGCAAGTGGCGAATAATTGTCTTATATTTTCGCATTTTCTGTACAGTTTCTTCTCGTCTCCTTTAGAATAAAAGACGCAGTCGAACAGGAGGAGTAATTTGTCCCCCAGATTGTCCCATCTTTTCTGCTTTCTTGGACAGCGGCACCTCTACTGGTCCAAATGTAAATACAAAAGACTAACATTTATTCAGCTTCACACACACTTTTTGCTTCCTTGGGTTCCGAGCGAATGCAAAAGTTCAACTTGTGTGTGTATGTGTACTGCCGAAAAAACGTTAAATTCAGTACCAGAAGGTGGGCATTCGCTGTCGCTTCTCTTCGGGAGCATAGACCCGCATCAACTCCTCCTCAAAGGTCTCCAGTCGTTCTGGTGCAACGAAATCCACAGTTGTCTTGGTGACAGCTTCCGTGGGAGTGTCCTTTTCCCCCACCTCGGCGGCCACAGGATCAGTGAGGTCGTCGAGGATGCGAGCAGCTGTGGGCAAGGGCAGCAGGTGCCCACTGCGCTTGGAGACGCGCACGCGGTTCCCCTGCGAGTCGTAGCGCCACACTGCTTCGCAGGGCGTCCTATCGGAGGGGTCCATGAGAGCCACCTGGAGGAAGGGCAAATGCATTACTACCCAGGACGATAACCACTAGTTTGCCTATGAAAAGTATATTTCACCGAAGCTTATATGTGGGCGGGAGGAGGATTGTAAGAAACGCACCTCTTCGTTGATTTTGAGGTAGTTCTCATCAGAAATGAGGGGCCCTTTGCCCTCAGGAGATCGATAGCGAGGATTTAAGCCTTCTACGTAGACGAGATTCCGCATTTTTATCACCGAACTCACAATGCCAATCTGGGAGAGCAAACAAACAAAAACAAACGTGACTTAGAGTTCACATAAACCCTCTTACTAATATATGTGACACCACAAGATCATGATAAAGCCGTAACAAAGGCATAGGTGTCACAAAGTAAGTTTGCGCATATCCTGCCTTCAGCAAAGAGGCTTAAGCGTTACTGCTACTTGAACTAAGTGAAGCTTCCACATGCCCCAATAAGGGAAGTCTATTCCATTTCGTCTGAACTTTTTTTGCCCTACAGACAGTGGTTTATTTTACAATCGTACATCCAAAACGCTGAAGAAAAAAGGGGATGCGCACTCAGAGAAAGTGTAACGGTCATGCGGCCCCATGGTCTGTTATGGTTCAACCTCTATGCTTGTGACATGGGGTCCTGGCCATAGCAACAGGTCAAGGACGTTCAGAACTCGTTTTACGGCAAGAGGTTTAAGCAGTCGGTCCTTTGATCAATGCTGCAAGTCCAATAGCTTCCAGCTGTGATAATGATGTGCCATGATTTCCACTAATCAACAAGAGAACGTGTAGAACTAGTCATCTTAAATCTCCCGAAGGATAAGTCGAATACAATGGGACTGCCGACCCGGACGTGGAGTTTGAGTAACCCTATCACAGGAGTCTACTGAAACAATTTCAGCAGTATTGCTGGGATAAATTGATAAAAAGATGATTGTAAAAGGCGGTCTTCGAGAAAAATAGGAAAAAATTCCAAAAATGCAACATTAGAAAAGTGTGCGAAAATGCAATAGGGATGAAAAAACCTGGACCGCAAGCACAACACAACGACAATAGGAAATTATCAGCATGGTCAGACTCAGCATTATTCTCGCATAGAACGAGGTTTTCGCTCACAAACAAAAGAAGGCAACGGCACAGGAAGCCTCTAGCTGTTGGTGAGTTGCACTAACATTAAAAGCAAAACGGCGTCGTAGTGGGTGGATAAAATGAAGCACGAAGAGTGTGAGAATAAAGTGTAACTATGAGATTTCCCTAAGAGCTTTTATGAAATAAGCTAAACTCTCACACTTTAGTGGCCCAATTCGGGTAATCACTGGTCACCAACACCATGGGAGGCAGGTAAAGTCACCCAGTGCTGGCTAGCACGATTCTAGCGTCTTCAAAGGGTACTTCACTTCAAAGCTGCCTCCGCAACAACTCTTTGTTTACAAAACTCCACCAAGTGAATTCCAATCCCATCGCCCTGAGCTGTTTCTGATTTGAGACATGAAATTGAACAGTAAAACAACTCCAACTGTTGAAGTAGATTTTGAGTCCGGGGGAGGGAATATTTACGCACGAAAAAAATTTACCCACAAGTGAGAATCAGCAATAACATGAGCAATAATACCAAATGTTGGTAAGTTGAATCCGAATGTAAACAAAAAAGGGGAAAAAATAAGTACTCAAATAATTTAAAACAATTTGAAGCGTCTTCTCAGAGTTAGGAAGACAAATTCGAATTAAGTGATTCAACTCCTGCACTTGATCGAGGTGATCTCGATATTCCTTGAGCAATAGAACAGGGGCAAGGACGGTAGCCCTGCTTCAGAAAACAAACGTTACTTGGTCTTATCCATTAGTTTTCAAAATTCCAGGCATGAAAATGAAAATTTAATGTTTTCAAAACGCTACGGAATGAATTTCAATTGCTCCAATTAGTCCCGTTGCATGAAGGAAGCGTGAAAATGGAAGGGATGATAAGTAGTATATTGCCATTTTCAGCAGACAATAAATGCAACCCAAAACGAAAGTCCCATGAGCAAAATTGGCAAAAGATTCTTGTTTCCTAAGCGTTTTGCTAGTTATAAACAGTTACTACAGGAATTCTACTTGTAATGAATTTCAGCAGTTTCGATGACCTGAGACGGTTAGAGCAAGATGAGGGGAAGAAAGGAACGGAACCAAGTTGAGCGACCACCACGAATAGAAGAACGAAGGATTAAAGAGGAAAGAATAAAGACTATTTATCAGGTGAATTTCAGAGCCTCTTTCTAAGTGGATACTTAAAATGCGAAGAAATAGCGGGGAAAATAAACGGTTAAAAGTAAGTTAGGGCTACCGAGGGGGAGAATTAAAGCGAGTGGCTAGTCAAAAAAGAGATAAACCTTGCCCCTGCTGACTCCCTTGAGCACAATAACACGATCGCCCTTGAAGATGGTCTGTTCCTCGGGACTCATACCAGTGAGGCGTTCGCGAGTGCGTTTGCCGTCGGGATGAACAACACACCAGTCGGTACGATAGGGAAAGGTCGAGAGGCGGTTCGCAATATTCCACGGTGGCTGCTCTGAGAAGCGCCATACTGGCAGCCATTTCTCCTCTGCAAACTGTAGCAATAGAAGTATTTGTTAAATATGTTTGTATTGTCAGGTCTCGGAAAGAAATAGAAACGCCCACCCACTTGAACTACTAATGATGCATCTTGTCACTTTATGATGGAAAATCATCGATGTCAGTTGCCACCAAAGAAATTTGGAGAGTAGAAGACGAGACTTGCAAACAATAGAAAGACTCCTTAAGTTGTGTGCTAGTAGGCTGCGAAACACACAACACCAAAATTGTTTCGAGTTCGCTTAGTTGTAGCACACCAAATAAGTGATTGCGCACCGAAAGGACATGATTTCACTACCTTCGCGAAAAACCCGGAGAAGGGGTAGAAAACGATAAAATTGCAGCAAAAAGGGCTTTACATAGGACCAGTTGAATACTTCCATTTCTTCCAAGATGCGGTCCATTTCATGGAGGCTGGTGCAGGATCCAGTTTCTACAGATCATCAAAATTGCATGGCCAGTTTGAGCTTCCCTGGAAGTGATTGACCTATCTCAATAGACGTATCATCCCTAAAGGTCTAATTGCGGCTATGATGGAATTGACAGATCTAATGAAGTTATGCTGTGTGAGGAAAATCAACGCTTCAGCTTGAGACATTGTTTTGGCATTAAGTTCCAGTGTAAAATGCTTGCAACTCATGAATAAATCCAGTGTTAGACCATTTTCTTAGCAATGACTATGCGAAAATAGTTCATATCACTATACTGATGACAAAAAAGGCCTTGAGACGGCTTCCCTTTGGATCAGTGTTTTATGCATGCGAATGAAGCTGATCAAGTCTTCTAGCTACCTTACCTTAATCTATCCACTGGGCCAACATCTGTTAGATACCTACGGCCCTCCAACATAGCTGCTTCACGATTAAGTTTACGATCACCGGAGTAAAAATTTGCCAGCCATCGAGTTGTGGGTTCATCAGATGTCCTTGACAGCCAAAGGGTCTCGACGCATCACAATGCTTATTTGAAACATAACAATTATCCGCACTAAAAATCACGATTTAAAGGACAATGAGCTATTGCAATGGATAGAGGCTAAATGGCAACTTCCAAATCCAGCACATGAGGAAACCCCTAACAAATGCTTGCGAATGATGCGTAATCTTATAGTCATAAAATTCCAACCAAAAAACGCCGATATTTCAGTTCTTCTCACTCACAAGTTAGCTCAATCCCTATAATATTTTTTACAAACATCAGGCCCCCTGATTCGACACACTAGAATCGGGTCACTGATCGAAACAAGCCTGTTATTGGAACACGGGAAGTAGCAGACAGGAATCAGTAAGCAACGACTTCAAAACCGCTCGGGGAAGGGAACATCGGAAATCCCACCACACTTTTCATGTCGTTTGCTATGCTAATATTTGAGGCTGAGGTAGCTTGATGCAAACATGAAAGAAAGAGCTACTCAAAACTTCGCACATATATCACTCAAATCCTTGGATTGATCACAATGACAGATCTGAGTAAGGGTGTATTATTCATAATAAATAGTCTGAAGGGACAGAGTGATCAATTTGAAGAAGACATTTTATAGAAAAGCATGAAACTAAGGTGTACTTACATAGTCCCAACGAGCAATGCTAAATAAATTGTAAAAGTCGTTTCGAAAACGATAGTTTTAAAAGAACTTTAAAAAAGAACCAGAATTTGAGGTGCAATTAACACGTTTCCTAGTTGTAGAGGCCACAAAATACTATGGCATTCCATATAAACATACCATTCATTTAATACTGCAGACTACGGGAATTCAGGTGATTTAAAGTGGAACGTGCCTGTCTCGATCACACATGCCTATGTAGCAAAATTTCAGCTTAATAACAGTTGAGTAGAAGTTGGAGATTTACGCGTTAGCCATTTTAAAGGTCCTATTAAGTAAGGAGTAAATATAAAGGGACAAACCTCGTGAGGTTTGGCGTCAGGCAACTCGAAGGGCATAGAGCGATCCATCTCGAAGGACCAGCCCTGAAGATCACCGCGAAAGACGGGACGAAAACGCAGCAGTCGCGCCACGTAGCGGGGCCAATAGGCGAACTGGAAGGCGGGATTCTGCGAAGCAAAATCGTAACCCGCTCGGATTAGATGAAGAATTGCGACTGCCTCCTTACAGTAGTCTATTTCGGCTCACGCTACCCCACTCAATTGTACCCGACATAATGTGCGTTCTTCTTTCGATTTCGTTTGATCCTGAGTTGGGAAACCTTAAATGTGCCAATATTGGAGTGGAGAACTTGGTGGAAACACGAGGCATTGTATCTACCTGTGGTGAAACTAAACACTTCTGTATGCACACATACATAGGCGCAGAAACAATTTGGTAAAATAGAGGTTCTAAGGTTGCTTATTACTTTTCTAAAAAAGGGATAGTTGAACAGGTCGGAAGTTAACGATCTGCATTATTTCATCGCCACATGAATTCACCAAGTAAACAGATATCGACAGAACTCAAAATTTCGTTTAAAATCACTTGACCTGCATACATGGCCTAATCAAGTGTACCGTGTACATTTTGACCGTTAATTTGCAACCATTTCTCGGATCGGCTAGACGTGAGAGTTGAAATAGATGAACAGAGGGTGCTGCCCAAGTCTTGCTGACCAATGGGAATCGAGTTACCAGACTGGTGAAGGATTATGCGTGAATGCGAGGTAGACGTCTTTAAAAAATCAATTTATGATGTAGCAAAAAAACAATTAACAACATTTTTACCAATTAGGAGATGACGTATAGAAAACAAACAGAGCAAAACAAGCAGAAAAGACATTTTGAAAAAAACTGTAGAGTTGAGCCACTCTTTATTACTCATAAATATAAATAAACGACAGGCATCAAATACAGGAAATAAAAGAAGAGAAATGAAGGGAACTCTACATGCACAATTTAAGCCATGCAAATGAGGTGGTAAGCGCAGGCAATTGTACGTTTGTTACGAAATTGCCCTCATCCTGGTTCCAACACAAGAAGTGAAGCTTTGCATGTTTGATTCGTTTGTTAGCTTAAAAAGAAGAAGTAAGAAATGAATACCTGATGCCCCGTATTATCACTACTAGTCAGATTGAATTGTAATGTTTAATAAGCGAACTATTTTACACATTTTACAAGAGCCTCTTTCAGGTATGGGCCACGAATGCTTATCAAAATTCTAGTCTTCATTGAAAGATGCCAAAACAATGCTACGTAGTCAGAAAATCCACATGAAAGTGTTTTTAATCGCGTATTGAAATATTTTGACCAGGATCTTATACCTTGGGAACTAAAACCTTCCCTAAATATGCAAAAAAGATGCTTTACCGAAACAGAAATTGTCCCCACTGCATGAGCAAACTTCACAAAACGGCATAAAATTAAGCTATTTTAAATCAAAAATGAAGTTTATCGACACTAATGACTTTCTGACATACAGTGTAAGAGAAAAAGTAATAAATGAGCATGAAATCCACAAATAGACGAAGATCGATTACGTCCGATTCAGTAACAGTTTATACAGGGTAGAAAGACAAATAATCTACTTCATTCAAAACATCCCATGGGGAAGTTGTTCGAAAGAACATCAGCCACTCCTCCCATAAACTGCTAACACTTTCTAAAGATAATTAAAAATATGGGACTTAAAAAAAGTTCCAATTCGTTAAGTTGAGTAAGGCCCTATGTGAAAAAAAGGTGATCGAGGACTTTGAAAGATTCATCCATCGGCAAAAATATTCCTACCCGACTACGTGTCCCACGAGCGAGGTAGGAGCGCATGACAGAGATGAATTCCTCCGCGCTTAAGTGACCATCCCCATCGGCATCGAATAACAGGAAGACCGTGTTGACGATGACGTCGTTCATTCGTTTACCGGTCACAGCACGAGCTGCACGCTGAAACTCTTCTGCAAGGCGAAGAAAAAGTTCATCAGCGACTGAGAAGTCAATACTGAAGCATAAAAAGGGACAAAAAACGTACCTCTCGAAATTGCGCGATTGGAGAGCATGTACATTTTAAGGGCTGAGCATAGATCTTCATATTGAAAGAGGAGATTAAAGAAAGAGCAGTAGGACTCAAAATCGATGCTGTCTTCTTCAAACATTATGCTCTCTGCGACAAGCTCAAGCCCTTTTCCTTTTAGTTTGTCCGGCAGTTCGGCGTACCGCAAGATCGCCTGAGCCAATTGTAACGGCGAAATCGAGTCATCTCCGCAGCTAAAGCGATAAAACTCCGCTCGCAGAACCTCAGTTTGCAGTCCTAAGATAAATCTGAGGTTAAAAATCAAAATTACTGCAAGGTACTACCAACTTTGCCCACAGAAAAAGAAAAAAATACTGCTTACTTAAGAAAGTCTTTATACACAAGCTTTCCACGACCGTCTTCATTGAAGAAGTGACGCTGAATTGTGGTAGAACATTGTGATGCAGACTAAACGGTTGGTGAAATGGTTAATCCCAAACCTGTTCGGCAGATTTTCCGGCCCAAAATTTCATGTTGCATAAGTTCATTATCTGTCAACGCTAAGTCAGCAGAATCAACTTTACCTGAAAGAATTCAGACTTTTCTATACTTTCACTGAAATCCTGATCAAACATCCTGAATAGTACATGCAAATTATAACTGCTGTCTAAGAATGCAGAAAGGCATAAAAATAACCTACTAGTTAATACTGATAGTAAAAAGAGGTATTCTGAACAAGAAATCAGTCCACTTCTGTCAAGAGTGTGAAACAAGGCACCACAACTCGAAGAAACACGAGGTGTCTTAGCAAGAAGCTGTTCCGCCATACCGGTATCAATCACGTGGCGTTTAATACTGACTGGCGGTCTAGCACCGGTTACACAATCAATGAAATCTCTAGGTGTCATGAAGGCCTCACCATTAACCTCAACAGAGGCAAATTTTTGGAAGAGACGCACCAGAACATGCTGCAATCGAATTTATTATACGGATTTACCTCACCAGATAGTTCAATATCGGGTACAAAACTCAGCAATTTATTAGAGGTTCCATTTTTCTGACCAAAGGGCACAACCAGGTGAGCTGATGTGACGGCCAGTGAAAATAGAGAAGCTCCAGCGACTGTACGATACAAACGGTTCGGTAATGATGCTCTTCGCAACTGGCGAAAAATGTGTGACAAAGCATTGCGAAAAAACCGTTTCATATCTTGAATCCTAAGCAGAAGCGGCAGGCAAAAACGCAAGCCAATCAGAAAAACAAAACATGTGGTTTCATTTTCAGCACGAAGCATTCAAGTGCATTAAACAATAAAGCTACCTAAAAATATAAAAGTCCTGGCTGAGAGTGATGAATAAGCTAAGCACTATTTTTGAGTTAGCGGACGTGTATTTTATACAGAGTAGAAATTCAAACTGACGGCTGCATATGTCAAAAACCGAATATTACTTAGCCAAACTTATTTTATGAGCAAGTGATAGAAAATGTAGATGCAGATTAGGCAATCTTAATTTCAAGCCCTTGGCTTACTCCTTCATACCAAGGACGGCCATTACGTAGCGTCCCGGGGCTCCCTGAAGACGAAAGAAGACAAAATTCTCGGGCAGAATCTATATTAAGCGCAGAGAAGGTGTCTGGGCTATTGACATGGCCCAAAAGGCCAGCCCACCCAGCAAGGTACAAGGGGGATAATTCAAAGTACAAAAGTGGCGCCTCACCAATGCTGGAGGATAAACCACTATCGTATTACAATTATCCCCCTAGGCAAATGCCTACATGATCCACTATGCCCTAGTTTAGCACCCTAATTCTTCTCCGAAACCGTATCAGGCCATATTACTGTGAAGAGCATGTACTTGTACTGTCAGGGAAAATGAAGCTCAATTAGTGTATCCTAAAGGCCGAAAATCAAGGCGAGACTATAATCTGCTGAGATTTAATTTATCGTGTAACTAGAGTCAGAGTTAAACAAGACTCTAGGCTTTACATTTGTTTGGTGGTTGCTTCTTAAATGTTTGCAAACAAGTACTAATAAGACGCACATGTGGAGCGAGACTCATCGGTCTCCGCTTTCCTATTTCTAGCGTTCTTAGACAAGTCCGATTGACTCATTTTGGACATATTTATTAGAAATGAAAAGATTGAGGGAGAAAATGCAACGTTCAAGAAGGAGGGGAACCGCAGTCACTAAGTACGGGAGAGGACGAACCGGTCACGAGATTCGAATTTTTTGCTTGCCTCCTTTCTGAAATGTCCATTAAAACCAATAAGTATTACACACACCACAGTAGTTACAAGGAATGCGTTTTATAGTTTAGGTCTGTTTGTTGGAATATACAATAAAGCTTAGTTTCATAAATCGCATATGCTCCAACTTAAGGCGTAGTTCTGGACATCATATTACACGTTCCTAAGACAGTGTGTTTATAGGAATTTCCTTTGTGCTAACGGACCAAAAGAAGGCGAACGCCAAAGAACACTTTGCTAGATGCGGTCTTTATTATGCTGTCAAAAGTTGGTCTTAGAGAGGCCTCTAAATATTAGAAAATAGCGTGCGAATGTGTTAAACCTGAGTCCAAAACTGTGCCCCTTGAAGTCACACATGGCTAGAAGCCAGCAGAAACTCAAGATTTGAGTATCTGCTCCTCAAGTAAAATATGCGTAGCACTCTGAATTTTTTAAGGGAAAAAAGAATTATACCAGGACTAAAACTCTATTTCCGACGTATGGAAAGGCACAGAATTTGTTAACATGACTCAGACACCATGCCGTTTAGCAAAAGCGCATAGGCGGAGCCTAACTTTCTTGGAAGATTAAAACGGATACTTAAGCAAATAGGCAAAGTTTTGCAGCATAAATTTGATTAAATTATATTGTGCTAAGACCCCCTTTTTTAAGCAAAAATCAGCAATAAACAGTATTACCATGCATAAACCATTGCATTAGAAGATAAACAGAAAGTCCTCTCTCTAAGTGCTTCTCTATATCGTGACAGCTCATACAAGCATGGAAATAAATGTAATACGATGGTGGTTTATCCCTCGGTATTGGTGAGGCGCCACTTTTGTACTTTGAATTAGCCTTCGTGTACCTTGCTGGGTGGGTTGGCCTTCAGGCCATCCCAGTAGCCCAGAAACCATCTCTGTGCTGAATATATGGTAGCGTCCCAAGACTCCCTGAAGACGAAAGAAGACACAACATTCGGGCAGAATAAATATATTCAGCACAGAGAAGGTGTCTGGGTTACTGGCATGGCCCGAAGGCCAGCTTACCCAGCGAGGTACAAGAAGTACAAATGTGGTGCCTCACCAATACCGAGGGATAAACCACCATCGTGTTACAATATATTTTGCCCGAGTATTATGTAGTCTTCAATCTTCAGGGAAGTCTGGGGACACTGCATGGGTTCATTATTACCCTAGGGGATAGTGAGCAGATTATAGAACCCAGCAAGAAACCGCGTTTCTAAAAATAAGTATGCATAGCGTAAAGTTCATAGGTCCCGCGTGGTTAAACGCGGAATTTAACAGACATCAGGTTAATACAAACTTGGCGTTACATTGAAATCCACCCAAGAAGTTGCCAGTATTTTATTTTGCGTCACAAGACTTATCAGTTTTCTTAAGTGCTTTGCTCACTTTGTTAGAATATCGATGCGTTTGAAATGAGCATAAGATTAAATAGAAGTAGATTTGCATATCATATATTAATATTCCTAGTTTCCAACAATTTAGCTCAACCTTTGCTTTTAAAGAAAAAGAAATTTTTTGTATGTTTGGAGTTAAAAATACTTTACAAAACCTTCAGACAACTTATGACTACAAGCAGTCTCAGTTTGCTAAGCATTCATTCAGTGACCTAGAAACTAGATGTAATGGCCCACCTAGCCCATATTTTTCCTGGGTGAGGGATCGCCTAATACTTTGTTTGTTAATGGTATTCTGTTAGTGCATTTGATTAGCATCGTTTTAGTTTGGAAATGAACACAAAAAAGCGGAATCTGAGGAAGAGGGCTGCTAGTGAGAGTGATGAAGAAGAGAATATTGCAGAAGCACCACCGTACGGTCTTTTTCATTTTCTTAGTGGGTTAGAAATGAGCCACCAGATGACGATGCCGATGATCCCATGAGGGAGTATGAGGAGGAAGAACGGGACAGGGAGAACGACATAAAGGAACGAGACGCTTTTGTTCAGCGCCTTTTAACTAGAGACAATGAGTCGAATAAGAAAGCTGTCCGTGGTTCTCGCTTGGAGGAAGATCTTAAACGTCTGGAACGTGGAGAAGTGGTAAGTTTATTAATTTGGGGCTTAACGAAGCCCTAGACAAGGGAGGAACTTCTCGAAGAACTTAAGAAGAAATCCCGCTGGGAATACCTGAAGAAACGACAGCTAGATAAACTACAGGATTTGGAAGCGGAAATCCGTGATGAAGAAACGTTCTTTGGCGAAGAAGAGCAAGTCTTATGTTTTTTTAAGTCTTGTAGGCTTACTGAGCTTGAGCGGACCGAACTTAAATACAAGCGAACGATTCTTGAGGCAGCAAACGCTCACAAAGTTGTCACGGCTGAACAAAATGCTCAACATTATTTTATTCCGACGGAGAATAAGGTAATCTACTTAATTGTTTCTTTATCTTTGATTAGCGTCCTGACGACACGTACTATGAAACTGAAGCTGAAAAAGGCCCCCACGGTGAAAATCGAAGATGGGAACAAGAACACCTAAGTTCAGCCCTATTTAAACTTGGTGCCAGAGACAGCAAAGTCAAGGTACGTACGAAGGTAGTTTTGAAGACTGCATTCCTTTGCATTTGTACTTATGCGGTGAGTGCTTTGTATTTGTAGGAAAAGTACGAACTTATTTTGGACGATGAGATAGAATTTATGAAGGCCCTGACCCAACCTGGCTCAAATGTAAATCTTGAGCCAGAATTGACACCCGAGGAGCAGTTGCGCAGGCGTTCTGAGGAGCAGAAAAAGACTCTTCAGGAGACTCGCAAATCCCTTCCAATATATAACTTTCGTAGAGCCCTACTGGATGCAATCAAAGATCATCAGGTCCTTGTAATTGAAGGCGAAACAGGTTCTGGAAAAACCACTCAAATACCGCAATATTTGTACGAGGCCGTAAGTTTGCAAATTTTCTGAACTTGTCGCCTTGATTTTCCAGACATTATTTTTGTGTACCTAGGCTTAAAGGTATTTCAAAGCACTTTTAGGATTTGTGATTTGTAAGTACATTCGCTAACAACTTTCATGATGGTGTTTTTATTAATCTAGTTACTGGAATGTAGTACCCTCACCTTCTTTCTAGTGGCGGCTTTCCATGGCCTTATAAATTTTTTCCTGAACGTTTTTAATTCATCTTTTTTGGTTTCTTCAGCGAATTCGGACGGTGTGGGTAAATTGTTTAGACATTTCTGAAATTACAACTCGTTAGCGTTACAGCAAAGTGGGTAGGATTGCTTAGCCGCCTTCCTTTAGCACTGTTGTTGATTCGAGTCTGCTTTGAACCTTACATTTCGTAACTTTTTTTTAACACATGGTGTAGAAGGGAGTCACTCAAGTCCTTTTCTTTTATCACTTTTACTGATGTTGTAACATCTCAAACATTCTGCACGTCATTATCGGGTGAGAACGCCCCTGTTTTCACATGAATCTGTTGATGGAGAAATTTGGTGTAGCATACAAACCAGAGGATTTCCCTAATTCACTTATTGAAGTGTATAAACCTTATTACTCTATGTAAGTTCGCCCACATGGAACCGCTAATCTTGAAGTAGACTGTTATATTATCAAATATAAATATGCCCTGGCCTGGCACACTGTTCGGCAAGTTGTTTTCGGATTGGCAAGGTATCTTTAGATTGGTATACATTCCTCACTGCCTTCCGGCATTTTTGCTTATCACATTCTGAAAAACAATTTTCAATGAGTCATTTTTCCATAACTTATTAGCAGCCTTTGGTATGTTTGATCTGTCTGTCATCGACTATGGGACCATTAGGAATTAGCAAAGTGAATGGAGATCTGAGTTATCCCAGTTGAGGGTGAGTATCATTGTTTTCAAACTTGCTTAAAGTGCTCAACATCAACGCAAATAAATAAATCTTCAAAGAAAGGTATGCCAGCAAGGCATGTCGTCCGGCGAGTTGATCTTCGGGTAATATTTTTATGTATAGTCTCCGCTTTCTCCAATTCTATGTGGTAGAAAATCGCACCAGTAACTGGCGGAATAGGAGAGGGGGCAATTAAAATATCTGAAAGCTCTTCATCCGTGACTAAGATGGCATTTTGGGCAACCAATACATTGAGAGCACTGTATCTTGCATCGTGAGATAGGCAGAATAACCGTCTGCTTACCCTTGACCCTACTTGCAGGGCTACTGCAAGGCCGGTAAGCGGATTGGTTGCACACAGCCGCGCCGAGTTGCGGCTATGTCAGTGGCAGCACGAGTGGCGCAGGAGATGTCGGTGAAGCTGGGTCTCGAGGTGGGCTACACCGTCCGTTTTGAGGACTGCACCTCAGAACGCACGATGGTGAAGTACATGACCGACGGTATGCTGCTGCGCGAGTTCCTCAGCGAGCCCGATCTCGCCTCCTATTCCGTCATGATGATTGACGAGGCGCACGAACGCACCCTCCACACCGACGTCCTCTTTGGTCTCGTCAAGGTGAGCCTTGATACTCCGCTTGCTCATTTTTCTCGGCAATGACATAACGCTCGTTCCTTCTCTGTAGGATGTGGCCCGATTCCGACCTGATTTGAAACTTCTCATCAGTTCAGCCACTCTGGACGCGCAGAAGTTTTCCCACTTCTTTGATGACGCGCCCATCTTCCGAATTCCTGGCAGACGATATCCTGTTGATATCTACTACACCAAGGCACGTTGCCGATTCCATAGTTGTGGTGCGCACATGCTCTCATATCACTATTCTTGATTGATTTTGCAATGTTGATCTCTGAGGTACGGTAGACTTATACATTAGGAGTAAAAGCTTTATAGCTTCAAATCTTTTGCTCCCAAAGCAAATGGGATGATGACTCAGCAGGCAGTCTGAGAGTCCGATTATAAAGAAGATCAAAGGTGTGGGAGCGGCAGTTTTCACGAAATCGGTGTTGTAACCATCACTAGTTTCTGCATTTAAACTCGTTTGTCGCTACAGAGGAGCATGGGTTATCCGTATTTGCATGAAAGTAAATGAATGCCTGGCTAAGGGTAGAAACGATGCAGCAGCCACTTTCGGGGACTACCGGGAATGGAATCCAAAATACTTGTACAGGCTTATCACCTTCATAATTTTTGGTTTTAAGCCGACCTGAAAGATTTTGTTGAACTCCCTGTTTGAGGAGGCATTATACTTTTACCCGAAGCTTAGAAGTGTGAGCTTTTGCTACTTAGGCGCCGGAAGCGGACTACATAGAGGCGGCGATAGTGACAGTGCTGCAGATTCACGTTACCCAACCGCCGGGAGACATTTTGGTCTTTTTTACGGGGCAGGAGGAGATTGAGACGGCCAATGAGGCGTTGCTGGAGCGCACCAAAAAGATGGGTAGCAAGATGCGCGAACTCATCATCCTCCCTATTTACTCCGCTCTTCCCTCTGATATGCAGGTTGGTGCGCCTCGTCCCTCATTACCCTCTTTTCCGATCCTCGCTTATTCTGTGTCGTTGCTCCTCTTCGGAGCTTTGTTCATGCATACTTCGTTGAATAGGTAGTTGGTAGCGTTCTGTGCTTCCGATAATTTCTTGCCTTTTCTCAATTTGTGATGTAGGAGAGAACTTATGGCTACACTCAATTTCTCCGTTTAATCTGGGGATATTGCACAGAATTGACGTTTGATTGTGTTTATTGCTCTGGGGAATTGTGTTTTTGATGTTGATGGGGAGTTCGTGGCGCACCTTGGTTCCTCACTTGATCTAGGTCTGTTCCACTGAATCGGCATGCAGTTTTGCTCGGTAATTTGGAAACAAAAATGAGCTTAAATGTCGAATATGGAACCTGTATCAAAGGAGATGCTAGGCGTTTGTCACATGAATCACGGTTTGATCAAGTTAATGTGCTTTATTTCAGTCATTTGTTCATTGTATGGTTTCTCTATGCTATTGCTTCACTTTATTCAATTTTCACACCGCAAGCAAAAAGTTATTTAGAGTGTTATACTTCATCCCCAAATTTACTTAAATAATCTTCAACATTTTTTATGACTTGCTGCGGTAGAGTACTTCAACGGGTAGGGCTAAGAATTCGCTGGCGAAGGGGTCATTGTGAGTTTTTATTACTTACACACATAAAGTCCTTTAAACATGGGAACGCATGGCAATTAACACTCATTTTTTTCTGTAAGTCTTTCCACTAAGTAAAGGATTGCGAAAATATTGCGTGACCCTCATTTTCTATATAAAAGCATCAAGATATAGTTTTTGAAATGAGAACAAAAGTACTATATCCTAAATTTCGGGATTAAAAAAATTAAGGGCGGATTCAGTAGTTTATAATATGTTTATAGTGGTAAGGTCCTGAAGAACCGTCTGTCATACGTTGTGAAGTGCTATGGTTTTAGTAATCCCTATTCCTTTTATGGCCCTCCAACTGCATTGTGCAGCAGTAGAATGGTAGTGAACGATCTTATCAACTGCATGCTTCTTCTTCTACAGGCAAAGATTTTCGTTCCGACTCCTCCCGGGGCAAGAAAGGTAGTCCTGGCCACCAACATCGCTGAAACCTCGCTAACAATCGACGGTATCATCTACGTCATCGACACGGGCTTTTGCAAGCAGAATTTTTACAGTGCTCGTGCCGGAATCGAGTCCCTCCTAGTGGTGCCAATCTCCCGAGCAGCAGCCGACCAACGTGCCGGCAGGTAAGCGCAGAATCGTGTTTCTGTAGCCTCCAAATCCTTCTGCTGAAGATGCTACGGAAATGAATGTTTACGAGTATAAGGACCGTGGCACTAGTAGTTTGTGGGCTCGTCGTGAACAGGGAAGTTAGATCTAGGATCATTGCGCTACGTAGTGTCCGTTTTGCTTTGGACGTCGTTCTTGACTCTCCTGTTCTTGATTCTCATGGCTCGATCATCTGTCACACCGAGAAGGCCTCTGGATGCAATGACAGCGATATATCTTGTACAATTCGATGGAGTCCTAATGTTATCTTAAGCACTGGTAAACTGAATTGTAAACATTTATTTGGATGACATTGGAAGGTCACCGTATCCCACATATCTATTGCTTTCCTTGTCAGCAATTGAAATCATAATTCATTCATCAAGGCGATGTAAAACAGTTCCTCAGAGTTTCTTAGATCCTCGTAACGGCGTTCACTGTTTTTCCCAAACTTTTTAAGCACCCTTGTTGTGAACTTGTTAAGCACATATCTCGCACCATTACTCGACATGATTCAGAATTCAACCTTCCATTTGTAATTCCCTTTTAATTCATCTATCAAAAATATATCCTTTGCTTCTGCACTAACAACAACTAGTCGATCCGTTTGAAAATAAACCCTCTTCAGAATGTCAACTAGAGTAGCCATATTCTTTGCACTGTCACTAACGTAGCACTCCGGTTATTTCTGAAGACGTTACACGTTGGATCAGTCTGGAAGTAGCTATGTTATAACAGAGACTGATAGCCTAGGTGACACCACCAGCGTGATGGCCATATTTAAATATGTGTGATTAAGACAGATATAATTTCGCCCAAAGTCTTGATCGGTGTCATGTTTACATCAGGGCGGGTCGAGTGGCGGCGGGTAAGTGTTTTCGTCTCTATACCTCGCACGCCTATCACACGGAACTGGAGGCCCAGCCGGTGCCGGAGATCCAGCGCACCAATCTTGGGAACGTGGTGCTGCTCCTTAAGTCGCTGGGCATCGACGACCTCCTACACTTCGACTACATGGACCCCCCGCCGCATGACGCCTTGGTGATGGCGTTGGAACAGCTCTATGCTCTCGGTGCACTTAACCACAAGGGTGAGCTCACCAAGACTGGACGGCGGATGGCTGAGTTCCCCTGCGATCCCATGCTCTCTAAGATGATTCTCGCCTCAGAGAAGTGAGTCTTCCTCTCTTTCTATGAGTGTCTTGCTGTAGCCTGTTTTCCTTCTCCTTTTTTGTGTCATTTACTATCCAAAATTTGCCCAGCCGTCCCTCCCATTTCTTATGGTTTTTTTAAGGTCAGATTAATTTAGCGATGCAAACTGCTACCATCTAGGATTTGAAGGAGGCCGAATGTAATCCATGGTCTTGACGTATTTTCTTTCCTTCCACTACAGGTGTTTCAGTTTTTCCATTTCTTTTGCAAGATTATTTAGATCCCACTAAAGTGAGCTTTCTTCACTTCCTCCCTACTTACATTTCTACTTTATTTAGACCGAATCACTCCAAAAGAATGCAAGAAATGATTAATTCTGTTCAGAGATCACACCCCTTTCTCTCACTGCAGTGTTTTTCATCCTCCTACTTACTTCCCCTCTGCTGATTTTTTTCGTTTATTTTCTCTTCAACAACTGCACCAGATTCGTGTTTCATGTTGGTGTGTAGTCAGTAAATTGAATTTTATTAACCAAGGAGATTTTGCGCAATACTAAACCAAGTTTGCGCGGTCCTAAATTGGTTGATTTAACTGTTCGATTAAGGAGCGTAGTTTTATATGCACCTACTCCCTTTACTTGAATTATGCGAATCGGTAAACGGAAGAGGAAACACAATGATAGCTTTTCAATATCTGGTGAACACAGTAGAATTGTTCAAATGCTTCATTTTTTCTCTCCCCACATAGATACAAATGCTCGGAAGAGGCGATCACAATTTCTGCCATGCTCTCAGTGAACAACTCCATCTTTTATCGCCCCAAGGACAAGGTGGTGCATGCTGATGCAGCCCGCAAGGCCTTCCATCACGTAACAGGAGATCATCTCACTCTCATGAATGTATACAATCAGTGGGCCAATGCTGGTATGATGTTCATCTTCTTTGTTGCTGATGCCCACCCTCCGTTTGACTACTTGTTGGCTTTCCTGGTATTGCCACTGCCTTTATTGTTTGGATTTTACCCTTTTTAATTTTACTCTCGAGACTTCTCTGCGCAATGGTGCTACGAGCACTTCATTCAGCACCGGACCATGAAGCGGGCGAGGGACATTCGAGACCAGTTTGTCAGTCTCCTGGAGCGGGTGGAGATCCAACCGATGAGTAACCCCGGCGATCATATTGGCATCAGAAAAGTGAGTTCTTTTGGCTTCAGACTTCGGTTTTAGGGCTTTTCAACCACTTATTAAACTATCTTTGCCAAGGATAAGTATTTAATCTAATTTTACTTCAATGTTTGGTTTCTCATAACTAAGAATGACTTCTCAGAGCTGTTTATTCCGAAGTTTATCTGAATTCGACCTACAGATTAGGCGGTGCCAAGCAGTAAATCTAATTCGTGTACCTTTTCAGGGGTGCGGAATTGCTTTGAAGGGTCCTTTCACACTGCTCGCCGGCTCTTAGATTTTTAGGAGCACATTATTGCCTACTGATTGCAGCGTTTCCATATACCATCGCCATAGCATGTTCAGTACGCGTAAAATGTTGATATGACCTTTCGGATTTTGAGACAATAGGGCCAATTTGATGACGAAATTGCATTCTACATTAGCAACGCATCTTGCTAATTCCCAATTGTTAAACAGCCTGCGCCAGGCGGATTTGTTTTGGGAAAGCTGAAGGTTGGCTGATTTTCTGCAGCGAGCATATTTTGTACAAGAATCACCTTAAACCCAAATCTGTTTACAAACTAGTGGCATTTTCGCATGCATTTGGGGTGTCATTTAGATTTTCAAAATATTAAGCCTACTTATACCAGTTGAAGCTTGAGCCCAACTAACTGATTCAGCTTACTATCATTGTACTCAGAGCGCGGTTTATAGCTCCATCTGATCTTCATTTGTTTACCTTAAACGTTTCTTGATCCGTTTCGGTGACCTCACGTGAGCGTTCTGGGTTCGTGCACTTTCAACTCCGATGGCCTGGCTCCATCGCTTCGACAGGACGTTGAGCGTTAATGACCGAAGCGGGCCCGTTTTGGTAGTCACTGAACTGAGTCTTGCTTTCTTTTTAGGCTCTTACGGCAGGGTTCTTCTACCACACGGCACGTTTCACGGGCAATGGATACAAGACAGTAAAGCATCAGCACACTATCCACCCACACCCCAACAGCGCTCTGGCTGAGCAACAGCCACGGTGGGTGCTCTACCACGAGTTAGTCTTCACCACGCGCGAGTTCATGCGACAGGTGACCGAGATTGAGCCCCGTTGGCTCACTGAAGTTGCACCGCACTATTACAAGTCCACGGAGATCGAGGAGGCTACACGTAAAATGCCTAAAAACCGGGGTATAGCTCGCGTCGATCTGGAGGCCCGGGACGCCTAATCGGCACATCCTCATACGCCCTTTGTACATAGGTAACATCATCCACCATCATTTTTACATCACGATTACCTGTTTCTCTGTAGCAGGCAAACTATTGAGCATGTTTACGGACCCCGGGTACATCAAGAAGTGTTGCAATTTTTCTGTCTCAACTTCGGCGTAAAGGTTATGCACGCACAGTATCCCATGGTCTTTAAAGGCGGAGTACACCGTGACCATGGCACTTGGACACTTTTGTAGACTTGTAATTTGTGTAAGTAGTCAAAACAAATTTCCCATCGGTTGACAATTCCGAGCTACCCTGCAAGCTCGGCACCTTAGGCAGCTGAGTTAGGTCCCTTGTGAATTGGGTAAATAAATTTTGGGTTGGTTATGTAAAACCCAATTGTCACAAAGGCTAGAATCCTCGCCATCCGAAAGATCAGCCTCACTATGTTAAAATCTCTCATAATCCAGCACGGGTTCTGGACATTGCTCACATGTTTAGCCTCTGGTGAGTCCGCAACTTTTTAGTCACTCATTAAGTTGATGTAGCAGTCACCTTCATGTTGAAAAACGAGGGGATGCTCTCGCTTTTTGTACTTACGGGCGCATTCAGGTGCTTACTCCCATGCCTTCCGGGCTCACGCGGATGAACACTACCTGCGCGTCAAACTCACCTGCCGCATTGAGTAATGTTCCATTTGAATGTTATAAATCAAGGTAGGGTTCACATTTCTTGTTTTTTCGAGAGTCCAACAGTTGACCCAGACATCAAATCTAGCAGAAATTTCGATGTATGTTCGATGATCTGTCCTAATTATGCAAATGCATGCAGCGAATTTCACTGCGCGCCTTTGTGTGGGAAAAAATAATTGAAAAGCCTGTTCAAATACACCGAGGATGGAAAACTGAAAGGTGAAAATATATAATGGGGACAAAGGTGACAAATGCTAAGGTCACACAAACTGACTGGCTAATATCGGCGGGTTCGAGGTCAAGGCGAAAAGTGATATGCAAGTAGTGGAAGCTACCCAATGCTGACGTATGGATGCTCTCTTCTGGAAACCTCATACAGTTGGTATATCTTAAGAGATAAGATAGCACATCAGCTTTTGGGTACCAACCAAAATGTGAACAAAGTATTCAAATTTGGACAGTTCCCAGGAGTGCATGACGTGATATAGAGGGATAGTGACACTAGGCGAGGTCATCCTGAAAACGTTAGTTACAAACAATAGAACAAACAATCCTAGGTTGATAATAAGAAGCCGAAACTTCGTCTTTTCATCGCACACGCAATCTTAACGCTTGCATCCTCCTGCTGCTGGATCGACTGTAGACTAAGGAATGCGTACAAAGCTTGAAAAACCAATGGAACATGTCAGACAACTCAACCCTTGAGGCGCTGTCGAAA